TATCGAACAAGCCAACTAAGTATCACGCAGCTTGCTTATTATTAATCGGTCTTACGTACTCGATATATGCATAATTTTAATCATTATATTTCCTATATGTTTATTATAATATTCAAACATTAGAAACAAGTTGGCACATGCTGAGGGTCGTCTTTGTCCATTATAAGACATGATAAATCTCGTTCTGAATCTAGAAAAAAATAAAATGATTAGAGATATTTTTTCCATCCCGGAAACTTAAGAGCATTTTCACAAAAAGAAAACATGTTTATAATCATATTATTAAATATAGACAAAATATTAGTATTAGTCATGACAACCATTGGCACGCATCACCGCATTGAATTTTGTAATTGGCGTGGTATATTTTATATATATGTGATGTAATATGAATGATTGTATATTCATATATCAAAATGGGTTGACAAAAAATTGTATATTCAAAGTGGCGTGAATCGTGCGAATTAATTTTATAATCACAATCACGTGCACCTAATCCACCCGGTCCATCAAATATTATACATAATATAAGTTAGCCTTCTTGAGTAGCCATTTTATGCGAAAATGACCCTAACACGAGTTTATAATATTTTTTCCTTTGTCAAATATGAAATGTAAACTTTAACAAAAGATAAAAATAATATGAAATGTAAACTAATGCGTGTCGACTTATCTTCATTGAATTTTTAAGACAATATATATTATGACAATTTCTTGGCGTTTGCGTCTTTGTTTATTACGCATACGCGAAACAATTCGTTTAAAAAAAAAGAGAGATTTGGCTTATTCTAATTAAAAATGATAAAACTACTAAAACACAATCTGGCCCATTTGCATGGATAAGAATCTGTCGCGAAATAACAATGACTTTTCGAGTGAAGGAATATCAATTCCTTATCTATCGCCGTAACAAATAAACAAAATATTGCCATTAGAAAAATTTCACAAAAAAATCCATTTACAATAACAATTTTTTTTTTTTTCACAAAAAGTGAATCTTCACCGTCCAATCAGCCAAATGGCACCGAAAAATATTCTCATTCGCAAAAAGATTTCTGTATATATTCCTTTTTGAATTGTCAACGAATGGAAATGTCATGTATGTATTTCAAGTCAACTCAAAGAGTAGCTCATGAATTAATGGGCCAAGGCCCAAAATCTAAAACGAGGAGCAAGACCTATTTCGACGAGCAATTTTTGGGATTCGGAGACGCAAGAAAATGTACAAGATATTCCATATATATAAAGATATTCCCATATGTAATGAAACTAAAAGAATCTCAGAAATGTTTACTAAGGAAAATAAAAATTCATAGATCTCTCACTCTTATATACTGATATAGAAAATTTTCCAAAATGTTTAGCATGATACCAACATTTATTTAGAATCTATCATATAGTAAAGATATCCTGCCACGTACATATAACCTTTTATTAACCAAAAAGTAATATTTTCATATATCTAAATCGCCAAAGAAAACAGATACGATACATAGATACATAGAAAGAGGACTAAAATAGGAAACCTTAACGACTTTTATTCATATGGGTCACAAAGGAAGATATAGTAATAGTATCATGCTAAACATATAAAAGAAAAAAAAAACTTTTTTTCACCACCCAATACCCTCCAATTTTTTTTGTTTCTAAGGTTTCTCAAGAACACTAACAAATAACAAAACATCTTAAATCTAAATCGATGGAGTCATCTTCCAATCACATGGTATGCGTACCCTTTTAATAGATTCTAAGATTAGTATATATATTTTATGCTTATTTGAAAGTGTTTATAAATCTTATATATGTTTTTAAGTGCAGGCATGTCTCTTGAAGATAGAATCTCCTATGCCCGGATGGAAGAAATCTTTGGAAAAATTACTCAAGACAATTAATGGTTTCATAATCTATCACTTTCTCGTTAACTTAATTTTATTATTCATGTCTTACTTTATTTTCACTTGTTTTCCTGAATTCATAATGTTTTTTCTTTATATATTCATATGATTTTCATAATTTAACCTATGTGAATCATCAACACTTACAACTTACAAAAACCTATTATTTAAAACTCTTTTTTATATATGTATTATCTGCAGAATATACCATGATTATCGTCTTATCGAACTAATCTTTCATATTATCATATAGCTAAAAATATACTTGTGTAGTCTAGAGATGCTCTACTGTGAACATGTTTCAGTTCTAATCTCTTCGCTGTAACGAACCAATCGTTATTGTTGCTTTGTTAATATTGGACTCTTTTATATAGTTCCACAAAATTTTTGATATGAAATGCAATAATATATTTTCATAATTCTACTCTTTTTTTTTTTTCTACAGATGTGAGTTTTATGATTGACAAGCGAAGCAAAACAGTATATGTATCTGGAAAAATTGATCCACAAATAATACTTGAAAAGATTACAAAAGGAGGCGTAAATGTTGTTATAGTATGGAGCAATAGCGAACGGAATAAGCAGCCGGAGAATCGAAAAGACTATTTGATGGAACAATGTTATGCGTCGGGATACATGAATGCTCCTAATGGTTTCTCAAATCCTCCACCTAATTATTGGATGAATCAACCTCAACCATACATTCAAACTTTTGCTCCTCCACCGCCATATACACGTCAACTCCATCCGCAGCCACCGCCACCACCACCATACGAGTTTCACCAGAAGGAACCAGTGGCTAAGAGTTTTCCGCCTACGCCAGCTCCGCCTAAAAACTTTACTATGGGAGATTTGCAACTAGGATGCAGAATAATGTGAAAACCTACGATGTTGTTGTTGTTTTTAATGTCATATAGTATTTTTTTTTTTTTTTTTTTTTTTGGGCAAAGAATGTCATATAGTATAGGTTTGGATTTGACCAGCAAATCTATTTATTGGTGGGTTTTTAGGAGGCATTACAACTCCATTGAGCTAAACCCGAAGAAAGACCTAATCCGAACAATCATAAATATAAATAACTTGATCTTTTGAGGTTTAGATATCTAAGTTTTCTACTTACTTTCTACTCATTTTTTTTTTTGAGGTTTAGATATTTAAGTTTTCTGGTCATTCATGTTGTCTAAACCGGATTAAAACCAAAACGAATACGAGATTGGTATGAACGGATTATGAATGCTATACTAAACAAATACGTCTACAAACATAACCCTGCACGGGTAATACGTCTACAAACAAATATGTCTACAAAAAAATATTAATACAAAAATATGTCGGACCTTAAAGTCACAATACCTTTTTTCGAGACGGGTACGAGTCAGTTAACAGATTGAATACGGGCAACATGTATCAGTTCATACCCCTAAATAGTAAATTCTTCAGTAAAACCTCTATAAATTAATACTCGGTAAATTAATAACCTCTATAGCTTAATAAATTTTTCCGGTCTCGAGTTGGGACTAGTGTAAAAAATGATACAAATCGATAAAATAATATGATAATAATTTTTTTGAAAATCGTATGTAAATATATGGTTCCATCAATATCATAAATAATAATTATATAAACTTATCATATATATATATATACAACTTAATATATATATATATATATAACTATTATATGTAGAAAAATTTAGTGCAATATGACTCTAATATTGTTTATTTTTTTAAAAATTTGTATTAATTCTTGTTATAGTTCATTTTTAATATTTTTACTACATTGAAATTTTTTTTGCTGTTGGTCCAATGTTCTTTTCAAATTTCGTATGAGAAGAAGGTTAACAAGAAGAATGAATAGGAGGAGGATAATTGCCATTTTTATGCTAACATTTTTCTAAACTTTAGAAAGATATAGATTATTAAAAAACACTGCTTTTCAGATAGATTTTTTGTAAGAAATTATAAAATTAGTAAAATCTCTCTATAAATTGATATTAATTTATCGATAAACTAATATTTTTTACAAATTAATAAAAAATTTCGGTCCCAACATTTATTAATTTATAGAGATTTTACTGTATATCTATACTATTAATTGGGAATCACTCAAAATTAAATAACCTTATAAAAGGTAAAATATTACATATGATGCCATTGAGATTTTTAAATTTAAAGAAGGAGAAAAAATAGCAACCATATTAGTGATATTAATAACAATTATATTAATTCCAAGATTTTGCAAATATTGCAACCATAAATTTTGGATATATTAATAAACTCATATCCAATCATTAATTTATTATCATTACAGAAACAACCATTTATAGAAATTAATAATCATCATAATATGGTTAAAAAAATAAAAATTTGTTTTTATTTGAATCCAATAATAATTTTTATATAAAATCCTATATTATTAAAATTCTTATAAAATAAACTAAGCAAATCATACCATAAAATTACCTAATAAATATCACTAAAAGTTTTCAATCTTTCCAAATCTCGATTTTTCTAAATCTTACTACAAATAATAACAAAAACTATATATATGACCTTAAAATATATAAAATCGAAAAATCTAATCTATTGCCTAAAAGTCAAGATTTAGGGAAAAAGTAAGTTATTAATAGTTTGAGAAAAATCTTGGAAGTTCAAACTTAATCGGCAAGATAATTAATTCTAACTGATTTAATTAGTTTGAATTAATTGAATTAATTTAGGAAAATATATTATTGGATTTGTTATTTTCAAAAAATTTTAAGAGCATTGTTTAAAATTAAATAATGATTTGAAATTTAACGAAAGTCATATTCTATATTCTATTAATATGATTTTAATACTAAAATTGATTTCTTAATATATCTTTAAACCAATATATTGATGATAGAAAAAAAAAGAAAGAAATATAAATATGTTGTCATTAATTTCAAAGATAAGAAATATTTAAAAAAGAATATTTAAACAAGAGATTTGACTTAAAATTTGAAATAAGAATAAATAATCAATTAAGATATTAAATCATTTTCTAAAATTCAAAATAGGTAAACCTAATTTTTCTCATTAACTTCATCTCTCCCTATAAATATATAAAATTTGACTCACAAATATTCATTAGCCCACAATTCCAAATGTAAGTTGTAACTAATTAAATTTTGTTCTCTGTTTATAAATTTGAATTTTGGATACATTTCTTTTAATTGTGTGATGATAATTACAAATAGAACATTGTACTCTCATTTCCGTTATGTTTCTACAACTTATAAATTAACTACATAGGTTTGTCGAGCCATGGCTTAGCTTCTACTGAGTTGGGGCAAAAGACAGTCACACTCAGTTTATGAATATGATCCAACAATATCAGGGGAGAATATAAGCAAATAGATTTTTTATAAGCTCTTGATTCCACTTTTGTAATGGGTGAGTTATATAGAAAAGAAACCAAATATTTTAATTGAGTTAGTACAGATGCTAATGAACTTTGATCTTTCCTACAGAGTGCTCATATTTTATACATTTGACATACGCAAACAAAATACTAAAAAAGTGATAAAAATATTTCATATGTCTAAGTTTGAACTTATAAGATAATCCAAACAGAAAATATCATGTTACTACAGTTTGAAAAGAGATAATTAAAACAAATAGAATAATAGTTGGATTAGTATTTGATGTTTTTATTATTTTCTGTGTTTGAGTCTTTACAACCATGAAGCTTTTTTTTTTTGGTTTTTTTTTTTTGACAGCCAATGAAGCTTTTTCAACTAGAGAAAACAAAACATTTTTTATAGACCGCGGGTGAATAAGGTTTTTATGTAGTGTTCTATAAGTATGAATTAGAAAATTTATTTCGTGAGTTTGTCAAATTATGAATATTATACCAAATAAATAAGTGTTCAAATATAACTCGCACCAACGTTTTAAACAATTAGAGAATGTTTAACAAAAAAAAAATTGGATAGATCCTATTTATTTTGTAAAAATTAAATCCCGAAAGGAAAAGTAAGGAAAATACGGGTATTCCATCTAAATCTCTTACCCATTCTCTTCTCTGTGGAAATAAATTAAACATTCTCATATTGGTAATTGTTTTAAAGGAAACAGTTATGTGACGAGAAATTTTAAGATAGGCAACAAGACGGGACGTGACGACACTACTTTCTCTCATTGTCTTATCTACAGTTAAACCTCTATAAATTAATACTCTATAAATTAATAATCTCTCTAAATTAATAAATTCTTCCGGTCCCGAATTGGGACCAGTGTAAAATATGATATAAATCGATAAATTAATAAGATAATAATTTTTTTGAAAATCCTATGTAAACATATGGTCCCATCTATAACATAAATTAATAATTGTATAAACTTATCAATATATATATATATATATATGTATATTTAACTTAATATATATAATATTAATTTATATATGTCATATATGAATTTCTATGATATATATTTAAAATATTATATGTAAAAGTTTAAAGAAATATGACTCTATTATTCGAAATAAGTTTGTGTTGTTTTTTAAACTTAATAATTAATTTTCTACTTGTAATTAGTTTTTAAAAGATATTGCTTAAAGGAAAAATTTATTTTTAGATATAAATTTTTTAAGAAATTACAAAATTAATAAAATCTCTCTATAAATTAATAATTATTAATTTATCGATAAATTAATATCTCTCTAAATTAATAAAATTTTCTGGTCCCAACATTATTAATTTATAGAGGTTTTACTATATATTGAATTAAATTTTATTAAAAAATATTGTTTAAAATATGAAATCCCGCACGTACGTGCGGGTCAGGTTCTAGTACAAAAATAAAAACACAAACAAAACCCCACACGAATTTGAGGGGCCAAATCTAGTCAAACTTAATCCAGAATAGTACTTTGATCTTAATTTACATTCCTAGTAAAAAAAAATGTTTATTTTTATCAATATGGGAAATTTGGCGAAAAAACCTCAGTTTGTGGATCATAAACAAAGATTTATGTGTTAGTAAGGATCTTTTTATAATTACAAAGAAAATAATCTAAACTAGATTTTAAGATTCTCAAGTAACGTAAGACTCATCAGAAACTAGTTAGTCTAGTATCAGAAACCTTTTTAAGTTTGGTCTGAAAAATCAGATCGAGATGCGTTCGTTAGGGTTAATACTCTGTTGGATCTCGTTTCTTACGTTATCAATCTCAATCTCTGCATCGTCTGATGATCAATTCACCGTCGACGGAACAGTTTTAGAACTGACCGATTCGAATTTTGACTCGGCGATTTCAACTTTCGATTGCATCTTTGTTGATTTCTATGCTCCTTGGTGTGGTCACTGCAAGCGTCTCAATCCCGAGGTCTTTTCAATTTTAAGCTCGCTATATAGTACGATCTTGATTTGTTTGTTTTGCAAATTACTTAGTCGAATTTAGGTTAACAATTTCAGTTTTATGGCATCGAATTTATACCCTAATTGTGTAGCTTTTGTTTAGTTGTGTGTTAACTATGTTCGGTTTCAATGGGGCTTTGTTATTGAGATGGTTCAGTTGTTTTCTTCTTGTTGGTTTGGTTGCAGTTAGACGCAGCTGCTCCAATTCTTGCTAAATTGAAGCAGCCTATCGTTATTGCGAAGCTGAATGCGGATAAGTATTCCCGACTCGCACGGAAGATCGAGATCGAGTATGTGTCTGCCTACTTATGGTCTTCTATTTTGAAGTTTTAAGTCTGTTTTATAGTGCTGCAATGACCTTAGCTAATTGAATTATTCAGGAGTCCAAAAAGTTTCGATTTTTCGATGTTTTACCTTAAGCTTGGCTATATATTGGTTTTGTTGTATGTTTTAGTGTTATTCTGTCTTTCTTTTGTGCAGTGCATTCCCGACTCTCATGCTCTATAACCATGGAGTTCCAATGGAGTACTATGGACCGAGGAAAGCCGATTTGCTTGTTCGTTACTTGAAGAAGTTTGTTGCTCCAGATGTTGCGGTTCTTGAGTCAGACTCAGCTGTCAAGGAGTTTGTTGAAGATGCTGGGACTTTCTTCCCTGTGTTTATCGGGTTTGGTTTGAATGAATCGTTGATATCAGGCTTAGGTGGGAAGTATAAGAAGAAGGCATGGTTTGCTGTTGCAAAGGATGTTTCAGAGGATACAATGGTTTCTTATGATTTTGATAAGGCTCCTGCATTGGTAGCCAAACATCCAACTTACAATGAGCATAGCGTCTTTTACGGGCCATTCGAAGGTCAGTGAGGTCATTTGCCATGTAAATTAGTGATGAGAACTTTCTATAGTAGATAGAGTGACAAGCTTCACCATGTGATTTTGTTTGCAGATGGATTCTTGGAGGAATTTGTGAAACAGAGTTTCCTTCCTCTGATTCTACCTATAAACCAGGACACTCTGAAGTTGCTGAAGGACGATGAGAGAAAGATTGTCTTGACAATCGTGGAAGATGAAACTCACGAAAGCTTGGATAAACTAAGCAAAGCACTGAGAGCAGCTGCTCATGCGAACCGCGACCTTGTTTTTGGCTACGTCGGTGTGAAGCAGTTTGAAGAGTTTGTAGACTCGTTTCATGTAGACAAGAAGACAAATCTGCCTAAGATTGTTGTGTGGGATGGAGATGAAGAGTATGATCAGGTAAAAAAACTTGTTTAACCAGTATAATGACAAGTAGATAAGATTTTCAAATTGTTACAAATATCTAAAATCGCATCAAATTCTTGGTATTGACATACTATATGCAGGTTACCGGCATAGAGACCATTAGCCAAGAGGAAGATCATTTGACTCAAGTGTCTCGGTTTCTAGAGGGATATAGAGAAGGAAGAACAGAGAAGAAGAAAATCAACGGACCATCGTTCATGGGATTTATCAACTCAATGGTCGGGATTAGGTCAGTGTACATCATTGTGTTCTTGGTTGCTGTCATTATGATGCTACGGAGCCTCGGTCAAGTGGAGGAGCCTGCTGGAGTCAGGACCACCACAGCAGCCCATGAAAGAGTTGATCAGACCACCAGTGTCCCTGAAGGTGAAACCAGTGAGCATAAGCTTAGTGACAAAAAAGAGGACTAGTTTTACTTCATTTGAATGTGGTATGTTTTTTTTCCTTTACACTTGAAGCTAACTTATATAGTTCATGATTATCTATCTTCTTTATGGCTAGTCTTTTTGTTTTTGTTTTCAGAGAATTTTTATGTTTCACGGTATCTAAACCGATGATTGTTCCATTTTATTTATGAATCCTTTTGGCTCTCAATTGCATATCTTTGGGATCTAATGAGGTACTTACAGATTTACTCTGACAACTATTGGTAGATCATAAAACGATTGTAGTGAAGTAATAGAGTTCGGGCTAGGAGTAATCAGAGGTGTTGTTTCCGACGCTGGTGGAACATCATTTCCTGTTCTTGGATTGCGTTTACAAACCGGACAAAAGGATCTACAATGTCCGAGCCAAGAATCGATACACACCGCATGAAATTCTGCCTCGAGTAAAAAAAAAAAGGTTAACAAAACCAGTTTAAAGAAGCTTATGAAAAGATTATTAATCAACTCTAAGTTGAACAACAAAATAGAACTTACTGTGTTTGCAAGGTAGTATCTTGAGTCTTTCACCAACGAAATAATCATCAATACATATAGCACAAGTAACCGAAGTTGAACCTTCTTCAAGAACACCGGTATATACTTCTGTCGGCAGGCTCTGCAATAAGTTTCTTGGCATACGAGAAAGTCCTTGGCCACCATGATGTAAATCCCTCACACGCTGTCTAATTCGATGCCTACGGACAGAGAAATAAGTGGCTAGGACAGCAGAAATGGCGAGTAAAGATATGAAAGTGATAGCCATGAATGACCAAGATGTAACCCCGAATCCCGGGATGAGCAAAAGCTCCATCTCAGCTCGACCGGCATACCCTTTAAGTACCTCCCCTGCTGTTCTTGTAACAAGCACGCCATGTATATGGACCCCGGATGAATTTCCTGCCACTATGATTTTGGTCAAGATTATAACAACCATTGATTAAAGATGTTTAAATACTTACATAAACATTGAAAACTTATTAACTTACTACGTACTAAGAGCTCCTCATATCTATCGTTATAGACAATCGCAGCTTTGTATCCAGCTTTCTGCGCCTTTCTAACTTTTTCCTCAAAACTACAGCCACCACGGACGATCAATACATAAGAGGGCCTAAACTTCGATCCTTTTTCCGCCATGTTGGTTAAATCCGAGCACGCATCAAGAGGCTCTGCAGCGTATAACATTCCATATTCCCCCGATCTTCTAATAGCTGGAGCTGAAAACATCTCACTACGATTTTTTTATTTGTTCAAAATGTTGTCTAGTCTACATACAATTCTTAAGAAAAATAAATAATAGTGTTTTACTGATCGTTCCAAAAATATAGAGGTCTGGTCACTTATTAGTAGTCAGTATATAATTCTATTGCAAGTCATATATATTCCCAAGTCCCAACCAATAAGCTAATCTAAGGCTTATATTTTTCCAGTGATCAAAACAACAATCAAAAAACGATATATTAGTAAACTAAATCAATGAAACAATAATAATATAAGTATATAAAACTGAGAAAACTTACTGAAAGTTGCTTCAACATCATCAAAGGAGAGAATTGTGTTTTTCCCGATCAACTTTACTTTCGCCGAAGCAAGCTGAGAAATCACCAACAGAGACAGGATTGTAATGCAACTACCGTTCATGATGCTTTCCCTCAGTTTTAATCGAATCGAAGCACCTAGTTCGAATAAAATACCGACCAAAACAACATGCTAAACCAAACCCCAAGAAAAGAAGAATTGGTCGAGAGAAGAAGGAAATACTTCGACTTGCACTAGAGAAGGCAAGACCTGGACATAAGTGTCTCTTGGATATATTCTTGCAGAAGAAATCATTTCTTTATTCAGAGTGCGTTTCACAAACATGTGTTTTAAATCAAAATCCAGAACATATTAGTATTTTAACTTTTATATCTATTAGGTTCAACTCCATGCTTTCCGCGAGGACCTTTCACTTTGGACACTAACGTAAAATTTGGAAAATTGTTAAAAATTTCCATTTTTCAATACTATTTTTCAAAAATGCTTCCTCTAAAATGTTATCAGAAATACCTCTAATATTCGGAAATCTACCAAAATATGTGTCTAACCTTATAAAATTATATACAAACTATTTTTATACGTGTGTAAAATTTTATAAATATCTTGTAAAACTTTATAAACATTTTGTAAAATCTTAAAACTTTATAAGTATGTAGATCGAATCTCCAAGTAGTATTTACTATTCAGAAGTACCTTATAAACTTTTCAGATTTAATGAATGTATTTTTGAAAATAGACAACTTAAAGAGGCACACCAAAAGACCAAAAGGGGTATTTTTAAAATTTTTTAAAAGTAATCTTTAATCAGAGATTTCAAATAATTAAGCACAAAATTTTCTATATAATTTTTTAGTCACATATTTAAAATTTCTTTAAAAACAGTATTGCAATAGACTTAACAACATGCCTTACAACTATTTCTGGTAATTTAAAATTTTAAATTGCAAAGCTGATTGTGTTTTTTTTTTCTTTTCAAAGTAAGCTGATTGTGTTTGGCATGTAGTTTAAGAGGAAAGTTATGTGATATAGAGAAGGAAGAACAGAGAAGAAGAAAATCAATGTACCATCTTTGATGGGATTTATCAACTCAATGATAGGGATTAGGTCAGTGTTCATCATTAATGATGTTACGGAGCCTCGGTCAAGTAGAGGAGCCTGGAGTCAGGACCGCCACAGCAGCCCGTGAAAGAGTTGATCAGACCACTAGTTTTTTTGCTACACTTGAAAGTGGTATGTTTTTTTTTCTTTTACACTTGAAGCTAACTTATATAGTTCATGGTTATCTATCTTCTTTCTGGTTAGTCTTTTTGGTTTTTTTCAGAGCTTTTTTATGTTTCACCCTATCTAAACCGAAAATTATTCCATTTTAACTATGAATTCTTTTTTAGCTCTCTAATTGCCATTAGATTAGTTCTTGTTGCCAGATTGCGTATAATGATCAAATAGTATATACACAAGTAAAAGAGTTAACTCAATTGTTAGCTGATTTACAAGACACACCACAAATGTGTACTTTCCAAACCACACAGCTAAAGAATGAGAGCCGTTCCTAGGGTTGTCTGGACCAGAAGCGATGTTTTAAAAAAGGCCTTAATTCAAATACAAAAAATGCTTTAAAGTAATAGCCAACATAGTCCAAATAAATAGAACAAGAGTAAAAACCAGAATACTAATTCTAAAACGCAACTTTTCTTCCCTTTTGTGCTACGAAATCACTAACCAATAAAGAAGAAGAAAAAAAACTTAAATGTGAGAAGTGGCAGGGCCAAACTTTGTATTTACAACCTGGTTACACTGTGGTATCAAAGTGCAGCCGCGAGGACCACTGGTGGGAGTTTAGTTTAACAGCCTGGAAGAGAGCAAAAAGAGAGAAAGACCTGACCGACTCACTTTGGTGATTGGTGAAGCAAGTGCTTCCAGGGCTTGGCCTGTATGTATATCTTTGGGAAAAGGCGTTCTTGAGATCTAATGAGCTATTTACATGTATACTCTGACAGATATTGGTAGATCATAAATTGATTGTAGTGAAGTTATAGAGTTCAAGCTAGGAGAAAGCAGAGGTGTTGTTTCTGACGCAGGTGGAACACCATTTCCTGTTCTTGGATTGTGTTTACAAACCGGACAAAAGGATCTCCAATGTCCGAGCCAAAAATCGATACACACCACATGAAATTCTGCCCCGAGTAAAACAAAACCAATTTCAGAAGCTTATGCAAGATAATTAATCAACTCTTAGTTAAACAGAACAAATTGGAACTTACTGTGTTTGCAAGGTAAAATCCTGAGTTTTTCACCGACGCAATAATCATTGATGCATATAGCACAAGTAACCGAAGTTGAACCTTCTTCAAGAACACCGGTATATACTTCAGTCGGCATGCTTTGCAACAATTTTCGAGGCATACGAGAAAGTCCTTGGCCACCATGCGGTAAATCCCTCACACGCCGTCTAATTCGATGCCTATGGACAACAAAACAAGTGGCTAGAACAGCAGACATGGCGAGTAAAGATATGAAAGTGATACCCATGATAGACCACGATGAAATCCCGAATCCCGGGATGAGCAAAAGCTCCATCTCGGCTTGACCCGCATACCCTTTAAGTACCTCCCCTGATGCTCTTGTAACAAGCAAGCCATGTATATGCACACCAGATGAATTTCCTGCCACTATCATTTTGATTTTTTTAAGATTATAACAACCATTGATTTAATACTCACATGAACATTGAGAACTTACTAGGTACTAAGAGCTCATCATATCCATCGTTATAAACAATAACAGCTTTGTATCCAGCTTTCTGCGCCTTTCTAACTTTTTCCTCAAAACTACAGCCACCACGGACAATCAATATATAAGAGGACCTAAACTTTGATCCTTTTTCCGCCATGTTGTTTAAATCCGAGCACGCATCAAGAGGCTCTGCAGCATACAACAATCCGCGTTCCCCCGATCTTCTAACAATTGGAGCTGAAAACATCTCAATACGATATTTTTTTAAAAAATGTTGTATAGTGTACATACAATTTCTTAAGAAAAAACTAAATAGTATGTTACTGATCACTCCAAAAATATAGAGCGGTCTGGTCACTATTCAGTAGTCAGTACATAATCTCCAACCAATAAGCCGTGTAATAGTAGTAACTCCGCAACAACCGAAAAACGATTAATAAGTAAACTAAATCAATGAAACAATAAGTATAAATAACTGAGAAAACTTACTGAAAGTTGCTTCGACATCATCAAATGAGAGAATTGTGTTTCTCCCGATCAACACTACTTTCGCCGAAGCCAGCTGAGAAATTACCAATAGAGACATGGTTGTAATCCAACTACAATTCATGATGCTTTGCCTAAGTTAATCAAATCGAAGCTCCTAGTACGAATAAAATACCGAACAAAACAAAATGCCAAACTAAACCCCAAGAAAAGCAGGATAGGTCGAGAGAAGAAGTTTCTAAAGTTATAAGAGATTTGATGGATTATGGAAGGAAATACTTCTACTTGCATTAGAGAAAGCAAGACCAGGACGTAAGTGTATCTTGCCAATTGTGTTTTCTAATCAAATTCCAAAACATAGATGTTAGTATTTTTACTTTTATATTTACTAGGGTCCCCATGCATAACAAGGACCTTTCACTTTCGACACTAGATAAAATTTTATCAAAGTAATCTTTAATTAGATATCTCAAATAATTAAGCACCAAATTTTCTATAAAAGTTTTGTAGTCACATATTTAAAATTCTTTCTTTAATTGTTCATAAAGAGTATTGCAATAGACTTAACAACATCATTTCACAATTATTTCTGGTAATTTACAAGGAAAAGCGGATTGTTTGGTATGTAATTTTAGACTACGTCCCCACGATTTCATGTATGTAGAATTTGTATTGCCGGTTAAATTACGGAATAATTTTTATTTATCAAATTCTTTTGACAAAAAAACCTACCCTACATTTAAAATAACAAAAATCGTTATCAAACTATGGTAATAATTATTAATTAATTATGGCGTTTGAAAGATTCACCTACAAACATTTGAGGAGGTAGAGAAAGCGAGATATAGAGAGAGGAGAAAAACATTTAAATAGTAATTAAGACATGAAAATACTGTTCACCTAGAAAATTTAAAGAGATAGAGAAAGAGAGAGAGAAATTTTTTTATGTATTATGTTGCGAAAAAACATTGTAATAGTACTTTTTCTGCTTAACTGGAGATGGTAAAGGACGTACCGCCCCGTGAGTCAGTTGAGTCAGAGGTTATAAACACTACATGGTATCGATGTTTCATTGACGGCTCTTGGAAAGACAGTGACAACTACTCGGGTTTAGGATGGTTCTGTACACTACAAGGTGAGATGAACCAACCATGGGCGCTGCCAACCTCCGACGAAGTCTCACATGTCTACACACAGAAGTGGAAGCATTAGTTTGGGCCATGAGATGTATGATTGGCCAAGACAAACGCGAAGTAAGTTTCTATACAGACTGCTCAGACCTGGTGAAGATGGTGTCTTCCCCGACGGAGTGACCAGCTTTTTCTACCTATCTAGAGGCTATTCAGAGCGACAAGGATGAGTTTGATTTTTTCTCTTTATCTTTGATTTCTCGACGTGCAAATTCATAAACGGATAATCTGGCACGAAATGTTCGTACCCAACCGCATCTAATTACCTATGTAAACAATATCCCCCAAAATTGGCTTGTATAAGCTAATCTAATAAAGTTGTTGAGTACTCTTTCTGCATTATTATAAGTGATATTTAATTTAAGGTTTCGACATACAAATTAAGAAAAAACCAAATATTTATTTAATTGATTTTTTTTACATAAAATCATCATTAAGTAAACTGAATTCAACCAATAAGAAAACATGATGTAAAATATAATTGGTCAAAAATTTTTAAAACATTTAATTTTTGCATAAAAAATTGAAAACATCACTTATAATAAAAAAAAGAATATCCTTAAAACATCACTTAAAATGATACAGAGGGAGTAGTAATTAAGACAGAAGAATAAATTACCGATTAAAACAACTTATAGAAGAAATTATTTCTTTAGCTACTTAATATAATACCTTGCGCATCTCATTTTTGACACTATATTGAAGTAATCATTAATTAGAAATCTCAAACAATTATATAATTTGCTATAAGGTATTTTTAATCTCATGTTTATTTTTTTAATCAACACTTTAATATTAAAATAAAATTTTGATTGGTTTTCCAATTAAAAAAATAAACGTTTACAAATGAAGCATCGGCAAATCTTAATTGAGAAATCCTTACTAAACCGCCAACATTTAAATTGAGAGAAGAAGAAAAAAAGAAGTTAGATTGGAAAAAGCGGACTATTGCAGAATTAATTTCATTTGAGTAGTTTGTTTTAAAAGTCTGATAGTTTGTCATGCGATCGAGACTAGTCAATATTGACCATATAGTAGCGTTTTCATCTTTGAATAAAAAGGTGACCGATTATTTATTTGGTACTTTACACTGAATAGAATTAGGCATGTCAATCGGGCTAGCCCGGTCCGGTCTGGCCCGAAGCCCGCAAAACCCGCATATGTTGGAGTCCGGCCCGTAAAAATTCCGAACCTATATTTTGAAGCCCGGCCCGGCCCTAACAGGGCTACAGGGCTTTTACGGGCTTTTCTTTCGAGAAAAATAAACCCTTCTAATTTATAATATCTCTTGAAAAAAAAAGAATCTATGTATAAAACGAGTTAAACGAAACTTAAATAACCCACTAAAGCCGTAGAAAAAGAATGATAATAACAATTGTTGTTATTATTGAATACTCTACGACGATCGAAGACACCTTTTCAAATTTTCATCGTTTTGGCCGGCGTCGGTCTCTCCGGCGTCGGTCACCGTCGTTTTCTATTATTTCCTTTCTCAAATTCTTGCAAGTTTCTAATTTTATTAGTATATCATGGCAAATCGAAGGTTTCCAATGTATGGTCTTTGCCACATTAAGACGGTGGTGATCAAGGTTTTCCATCCAACGTCCCCAAATCAGATTCTGATCTCGCTTTTGTTTCAATTTTTGATTTGGTTGGCCTATCAGTTCAAACTGTCTCCACTGATGGTTTTGACAGATTCATTCCAACGCTGTCTCTCGTCCTGTATTATGTCGATTCGTTTGAATCATAGTGTATTTCCTTATATAAAGTTTGTTTCCGGTGGTCTCTCTCGACTCCGGCGTCATCTCACTTCTAAATACTCACTTCTATAGATACAAAAACAGATTGATAGACAAATTAAGAATATATGGTGATGGAGGCAAATTAAGAATTATAAACGGCGATGGACATAAAATAGAGTTGTTGTCGAAGAAGGTCGACCCGATATCGGAGGAGATAAAGAAGGTGGAGAAATAAGAGCAGTTGGGGAAAGAGAGGAAGATCCGGCAACGGTGGTGTTGCTGTTGATGACGGTAGTTCAAGTTTGGTGGCGGTGGCGATAAATATTGATGAAAGTGGTGGGTCGGAATTAGCGAGATTTAGTATTGATGGTGATGATGATTGTGATAGTTGTGAGATTTAGTTGTGGTGGTGGCCTGGTGAGTCGGAGTAGTGAGACTCGGTAGTGATGCCCAACGAAGGAGAAGATGTGGAAAAAGAAAAAAATATGGTAGTGAAGAAATCCAACGCGAGGGAGAGAAAGAAAAAGAAAGAGGAGATCGAGCAAAAATAAGAGAAATCTAATGAGAGAAAAAGAGAGATTTGAGACTTCTCGCCGGCGAGAAAAAAAAAAAAACAACGAAGAACTCATGAGTAATATGGACCAAAAATTGACAAAAACCATATTTAGTTAATATTATTTTCTTAATTCTTTTTTAGTCTTAGGTTATTTAGTGCATATTCCCTAATTCCTTATGAATTTGTCTTTTTGTTTTGAGAATTTTCCATATTATCAAGTAGATGTGGATATAAACTATCTCATATTGTCACAGTTTTGTTTCCATCTTACCCACATTGAAAAAAGAAATTGTTATACACTCTTCCGATGGATGTAGATAATTTATTGAAATTCAATAATAAACATATGAACATTTATTAAATATTATATTGTAACATATAATAAACAAAACTACAAATAATATTTTATATTGCACATTATGCATAACTAATCTATATTTAAAAAAATAATTAAAAATGACAATTTTGACCAATAACCCGTGCAACGCACGGGTCCATATCTAGTATTATATAAAACATACTTTGGAAGAAACGTTTTTGAATTTAAACTAGCTTCATAAGGGATTCACAAAAGACCTTTACAAATATCAGAACCGCTTCGATTTGAGCTAAGCAGAGAACTTTAACAAAAACCTAGAATCAAAGATCAAAAGAGAAGAGAATTCAAGAGAAGAGAGCCCAATTCGTAAATTATCAATCTCACAAGAACAAACCTGAGGCCGTCGATGCCATCGATGTTTAAGCTTGATGAACAGAGGAGCTTGATGAACAGAGGAAGCTCGATGAAGAGAGGAAGCTCGTCGGGGAATAAGCTGGAAATCGCCGACAGATCGAAACCGCCGAGAGAAGAAGAAATTGTCGAGTCGTGTATAAGCATTTAGGGTTAGGTTTTTGTGAGTTCTCAAACATATTGAGGGTATTTTTTGTCATTTTCTACGTAAATCGCAATTTAGCGCTGAATTAAAATAGCGTCCAAAATTTTTAGCCGTAACTACTTGTGTTTGCCGCAACGTTATGCCGCAGCTACCTGTGTTAACCAAACGAACAACTTCATCTATGCCTGCCGCAAGCTACCTGCGGCGACGAAACAAACAGCCTAATTGTCTCATGCTAAATATTTTTCTAGATCCGCCGCTGATTGCACCATTCTAACCTTAGTGCGCCTAAATTCGATTCCAATTAGGAACAAAATCGATTTGCTTGTACCACTTAGACTTATGTTCATATGCTTAATTCGTGGTGAGTTTACAAGAAACTCCTGCCAAGGGTCTTGTTCACCTTGGGGGTAGTCGACGATCAGAGCAGTGCGTACAATGTTATCAATAAAGCATTTTCAAGGTCCCTAGCTCCCTATGTTAAATTTAAGAGCCCTAAATTCCAAAAAAAAAATGTCAGTGAGAAGCAAAAACAAAATGGGCTTTCGTTGACCACTATTATATAAAAAAAAGAGAATAATGGGCCTATTTTGGGCCTTTTTCTAAAGACTAATTGAGTTCTCGAAAGTTCGCCGGAGACAATTTCGGATTCCTCCGTCTTTCTCCAGAAGCTTTGAATTCTCACGACGAAGCAGAGAGAACACTACTTCCTCTAGAATTCAGATCAATTTCACGACTGATACACAACGATGGAGCAATCAGCTGCTCCACAACCTCTGCCAATGCCGTTACCTTATCTTCCAAGCTCCGTTCAAGCTTCGAGAGACGATCTTCAATGTATCGGAACTATGGAGATCGTCCGACCAAAACCAGTCGGTTTTCTCTGCGGCTCCATACCTGTTCTCGCCGATAACTCGTTTCCAGCTTCTTTTACTTCGGCGATTCTACCTTCTCAGGAAACGTTAGTTACTATCTCCCACCTCTTCTTCTTCTTCTTCATCATATAATTGTTCTACTTGCAATTTCCTTGAAGCTTTTTTAATTTTAGTTGCAGCGTCACTGCTCCGAGGTACCAAATGCTTCCGATGGAGACAGATCTTAATCGGCCTCCTTTGTTGACTGATTTTCCGGAGAATGTTTTACCTCTCGCCGCCGTCAAGTCTAGGATCACCGGAGGTATGTTTTTTAGTTGATTAGCTTTCACAAGTCTTGAGTATTCAGTTTCTTCTGCAGCTAAGTTTGTGTATGTATTGGTGTTTTCATTTGACAGATATATCTAAGGAAGCTAATGTAATTGCTTCAAACCTTAGTAAGAAATGTGAAGCACTTGCTGTATTGGGTTTAGTGGAATACGGAGATGAGATAGATGTGATTGCTCCTGTTGATATTCTTAAGCAAATCTTTAAGATACCTTACTCGAAAGCTCGGGTTTCCATAGCGGTTCAGCGGGTTGGACAGACTCTCGTCTTGAACCCTGGGTGTGTTCTTTGACTTATTTTGTTATTTAAATCGATGAGTAAGTCTTTATATGCTGAGAATTTATCTTGTGTGATGTAGACCTGATGTTGAAGAGGGAGAGAAACTGATTAGGAGGCACAGCAATCAACCCAAATGTACTAAAAACGTTGATGAATCTTTGTTTCTTAACTTTGCTATGCATTCAGTAAGGATGGAGGCGTGTGATATTCCCCCGACGCATCGCCCACATACAGAGAAACATTCGAGTTCTTCTGCTCTCCCTGCTGGAGAGAACTCTCATGGGCTTCAACAGAATTTTGATAGTGCTCCAGATGACAGACTTGACAATCCTGAAGGGAGTAGTAAACAATCTAAACAGGATGGTTTCATTTGTGAAAAGAAGAAGAGCAAAAAAAACAAGGCACGTGAGCCGGTAAGAAAGAATTCTCAAATCAGTGAAAAGATCAAGAAGTCTTCTGGAGACTCTGAAAAACACAGGAGAGGTGGGAACAATGAATTTTTAAGAGTTCTATTTTGGCAATTCCACAACTTCCGCATGCTTTTGGGTAGTGATCTGCTTCTGTTCAGCAATGAAAAATATTTGGCTGTAAGCTTGCACTTGTGGGATGTTAGCGAAAAGGTTATTGTTAAACTCTGTTTGAATCTTCTTTTTCATATTTTCGGCAGAATCTTTGTTAATTGTTCTCTTTTCACACAGGTTACACCTCTAACCTGGCTTGAAGCCTGGCTTGACAATGTAATGGCAAGTGTGCCCGAGTTAGCAATTTGCTATCATGAGAACGGTATTGTCCAAGGGTATGAGCTTTTGAAAACAGACGATATATTTCTACTAAAAGGTATCTCTGAGGATGGTACACCTGCCTTTCATCCTCATGTTGTTCAGCAAAACGGCCTTGCTATTTTAAGGTTTCTTCAATCAAATTGCAAAGAGGATCCTGGAGCTTATTGGGTAATGTTTTAATTCTCTGCGAACTATTATATTGTTTGTCCGAATTATTTATGTTCATGTCATTGCTTACACTGGTTGATTTGGCTATGTCCTTTTCAGCTCTACAAAAGCGCTGGTGAAGATGAACTTCAGCTCTTTGATCTTTCCATAATCTCAAAGAACCATTCTTCAAGCGTTCATAATGACAGCGCAAGCTCATTACCATCTTTGATTCACAGTGGAAGAAGTGACTCTATGTTTTCTTTAGGAAATCTTCTTTACCGTGTTGGTCATAGGCTTTCTTTGTCAGTGGTAAGGAGGCAGAGCATTAATATACATGAAACATCTATAAGAACTTAATTGCCGCTTTTCTGACACTTTGTATCTTTTGCAGGTGCCGAATGATAGGAACAAGTGCGCTAGGTTCCTCAGACAATGTTTAAATTGCTTGGATGCGCCTGATCATCGGGTATTGGTCTTTAAAAGATTTTCTTGATATCATTGAGCTGTTTTCTTTTAAAACCTTTGATGGGTACTCATTAGTGATAGTGTGATACCATTCTGGTAGGTTGTACGGGCATATGCACACGAGCAGTTTGCAAGGCTCATTTTGAATAATGACGAGGAATTTGATTTGAGTTTTGAGTCTAATGGTGTGCAACGTGAAGTCAAAATAACAGACCTAGAGGAGGAATCACTTGATCCTGTTACTATTGTTGACCATGAAAATGAGGCCGTGAGTTTCTCAGAGGACAAGTTCACTGAAGATCACTCAGTTTCTAATATTGTGCCTGTGCCTTTACTGTCTGTTAGACCAAAGTTGGAAGAAAATTTGTCATCTTGCAAGGAACTCTTACATTCAGATAGTCCAGATTCCCACGATACTGAAAGCTCTGTAGTGAACTCCAGTTCAGATACTAGTTTCAATCTTGGTACGGTATGCCAAACTACAACTAGTCCGATCTCATCGAAACTATCAGCAGTAAACCATGTTTCTCAAGCTATAAAGTCTCTGAGGTGGACAAGGCAACTACAATCTTCAGAACAGGATGATGCATTTCATGATATCGTACCTGATTTTTCCAAATGTGCATGTGGTGATCCTGATTGTATTGAGGTCTGTGATATCCGTAAGTGGCTTCCAACATCGAAACTAGACAGGAAATTGTGGAATCTTGTTCTGCTTCTCGGTGAATCATATCTGTCTCTTGGGGAAGCTTACAAAGAGGATGGACAGTTGCACCAAGCTTTACATACTGTGGAATTAGCTTGCTCGTTTTACGGATCAATGCCACAGAAGTTTGAGGAGACATTGTTTGTTTCCTCGATGAACAAGTCTCTTTCACTGCGGTCAAAATCGCATGCAAACTCAGGGCCATGTGACATCAGTGTTGGGGAACTATCATCAACACGCCTCTTCTGGGCTAAAGTATGGATGTTGGTTGGCGACATATATGTCCAGTTCCACATTCTTAAAGGTCAGGAGCTCTCCAGAAAAACAAAGGGGACATCAACCAATCATTTAAAAATGCCATCTGAAGTAGTAAAGGAAGTACAGCGCCTCAAGAAGAAGTTAACTGAGTATAGTCAAAATTGTGCCTCGTGTTCATTAGTAAATTGCAGCTGTAAAAGTGACAGAGCAAGCAGTGGAAGCAGCGCAAGTAGCAGCAATGGAAGTAGTGCTCGTACTGTGCCTCATAGCAGGAAGCACAATAGAAAATTACAGTCCAAGAATGTCGCCAGCAGGGTCTCACGAAATGTTGAAGATGAACGTGTTAATTTCAAAGTTGACAACAAGAGCCGCAAAGAAGAAGAGACATCGGGGGAAACAAAAGAAGCTGTCCCTCTAGAGCAGAATGAATCCAACTCTAAGGAAACCCCAGGAGCAAAAAAGGGTGGAATATTCAAATATCTCAAGGGGTCTAAAACTGATGATGCAGAAAGCAATCTGTTGGCTGCCTTAAATTGTTATGAGGAAACTCGAAGAGCATTACATGAGCTTCCAAGCGGCTGTAATGAGTTGCTGTCTGTTCTTAGAAAGAAAGGGTGGGTATGTAATGAACTTGGTCGGAACCGTCTCTGTAGCAAAGAGCTCAACAAAGCTGAAGACGCCTTTGCTGATGCTATAGTGGCATTCAAGGAAGTTTGTGATCATACTAATGTTATACTAATCAACTGCAACTTGGGTCACGGGCGACGAGCTCTGGCTGAGGAAATGGTTCCAAAGATCGAAGCTCTCAAACTGCATCCTGCTTTTGAAAATGCTTACCAACAAGCTTTGGGGACTGCGAAACTTGAATACAGCAAGTCACTTAGGTATTACATGGCAGCAAAGACAGAACTCAGTGTGGCTACTGAAGAAGCTAGATTGGTTCCAGACAATCTGAAAGTTGAAGTTTACACACAGCTTGGCAATACCTATCTCAGATTTGGAATGCTTTTAGCAAATGAAGATTCAACCGCTGCAGCTTGTGAACAGAAGAGCATCTTGGAAAAGACTCATGATTCTTCTTCTGATGGAAAATCCAGCGACTTGAGAAATCATGAAGTATTATCAGCTAGTGACGCTATACGAGAGGCATTGGCTCTATATGAATCTCTCGGGGAAATACGCAAACAAGAAGCAGCATACGCTTACCTTGAGTTAGCACGGTATCACAAAGATTGTTGCTTGGGATTTCTGAAGACAGAGCGTCAAGGAAGTCCTCTTAAACCGGAGACTAATGTCATTCAGAGAGCCAAACAATATGCTTTGTTGGCAGATAGAAATTGGCAGAAATCAATGGATTTTTATGGTCCTGAGAATCTTCCTTCCATGTTCCTGACGATCCTGATTGAGAGATCAGCTCTTTCCTTGAGCGTTTCAAATTTCTGGCAATTAAATGCTGTAAGTGCTTGATCCCCTCTAGGCTCTAGCTTGATTTGTTCTTTGTGATTTCAAGGTCTGCTCCTAAACTTCTCTTGTTTTTATTTCAGATGCTTGAGTCAGCTTTGTCTCGCCTACTAGAAGGCCGTCACATCTCCAAAACATATGCGGAATCTTTAAGAACCGAGGACCCGGAGCTATACACCAAATTCATGGCCCAATTGCAGATGGTTCTAAAGCGAATACTGGCCTTATCCTTACCAGCGGAAGGAGCAAACAAGTCTCAGACCTTTGGAAGATCCGGAGACTCTGGAAAACTAAGGGAGCTATATAAAACATCACTCAAGTCAACAAATCTGAGCGACTTGAATGCAATGCATGCCTTGTGGACATCATCACCTTAGCTAAGTAATGTTCTCTTCTCTACTTCTGATTACAACATTGCTAACTTTAATATAAAGGATGTCTAACATTTTTCTATTTTTTTCTGCATTTCTCAGGTACAAACAACAATACATTGGCTGTGATGCGATTTCGAAACCAACATCTCTGTCGTATTAAAATGGTAGCAGAATTCAAGTGATGATCTTGTTAGTTTAAAAAAAAAACGTGATAGTGTGAAACATAAAAGAGTGATATTTTAAGGTGGTAATGTTAATGTTCTTGGTAGCTAAAACTTTTGCAATGTTATAAATTTTATAACATATACTATCACCATAACTCCCACACTCTCCGCCTCGCTCCTACTCTCGTTGAAGTACTATTTGTTTTTACGATTCTATTTATTTCTTCCAAGTTTCAAGGTATGAATGTAATTATGAATTTTTCAAACCCTTCAGTAATCTCTTTGTTTGTAAACTTAACTAGATTAGGACATGTTTGATGTGTGGGTTTTAAAGTTTTAAAGTTAAATTAAATTGGTTCAGCTAATGCTCTCACATATAAAGCCTACTTGTTTGGTTCGATAAACCTAATTATTCGGATCAATATATAAGCCACATTGTTCGAAATATATGAACATAAAGTCTATTTACTCAGAATCTACTATATAAGAAATAACAACTTTTTGAAAAATAAACATTTAACTAGATAACAACCCGCACGATGTGCGGGATGAAGTGATTCAAGTAAAATTATTATCCGGGATCCAAGTTCCGTTTGTGTAAAACAAAACATGTTACAAATTTTTTTTTGTTTTATTCAAATTTGGGACTATTTCATATAATAATATGTTTTACCCGTGAAATATTTGAACTTTGAATAAAGCTTCAACGTGATAAAAAAGTATTGACGAATTGTTACCATTTCTGGCAATATGTCTTTCCGTATGTTTTAAAGATTTCGAGATTTTGTAGTATAAAAAGAATTTTTTTTTTTTAATAAGTATAAGAAATCCAAAATTTAGCAAAGATGAGATTTGATAGTTTCCAAGCTAAGACTTTGTAGTGTTCTAAATCTAAGATTTTTAGATTATGAATGGATTATTTACGAAATGGTTATAATGTGGCCAGATTTTGGTTTATATACAAATGTGGTTATAATGTTTTTCTTCGAAAAGTTAGAACTCCTCCAAAAAATAGGATTTTAAGTATTCGTAACATATAGAAAGGAGATTATCTTATTTATTTAAGTAAAAATTTTATGAAAGATGTAAATATTTTGTAGTTTTGAATTCGAGATTCTTGAACCAAATGTATATATTTTATCATTTAAATATAAACATAAATATAAATATAAATAAAAAGATTGTTTACCCATCCGCTAAAGAAAATTTATATAAATGTATATAAAGAAAAATATAAATATAAAAATATAGTAATATAAGATAAACAAAAAGTGTATGTTTTTAATTATTAATAGGATATATGGATGTATGAGACTAATTGCAAATTATGTAAATAGTCTAATAAATCTTGGGTAATAATCTAAATAGAAGCCAAATCGTTGTGAGAGCGACACATCAGCGTGGCAATCTTGTTAATAACACATGATGGTAAGGTTTTTTTTAAAAAATGTTTCTCTATTAATATATAGGGGATATCATTATATGTACATCATATGCAATTATAAATGTTTTGAAAATCTCGTTTTCCGCTAATTTAATAAAGGGTTTTAAGAGTAAATTATGTAAACACAATCTATGCATATTTTTATGGTTAATGTATTAATTATCATCTATTCATATATCTTTATGAAGACTTTTTAATGATTAAAATAATTTTAAAATGTTTTACATTTTTATTTTATAAATAGTTGAAGTATATTTATTATTTTTGTAAAGCAATAAATTATTATATTTTTCTATTACTTTTTGAAATGTTTATTTTGCTGTATGACTTAAATGTTTTACTTATTATATATATATATATATATATATATATATATATATATATTCATAAACAAAAAAGTTGAACATTCAACTCAACAATTGTATAATCCAAGATATGAATCTCTTTTTTTTTGCAAGTGGAATTTTAACATTTATAAGAAATTATAGGAAAATATAAAGATTCTACTAAATTTAGAAAATATAAGATGTTGTGAATAGTTGCAGTTGTAAAGAATCTAGATAACATTTAAGATTTTTGTGGCAATAGTGGACAAATATTGATTTAAATAATAAGAGATCATATTTTATAGATGATTGGAATGTTTGATTTAGTAATGAAGGAACACATTTTATGGATGAAAAAATTTGAACTTATTACTATTATATTAATAGTAAATCTGCGGTTGTGTACCGGTTACAGAAAATCTGCGGAAAAGAGGTATAAATTGTGATACAGGATGTGGCAGATGTGGTGCGATAGAGGAATCAATTAATCATACACTTTTTGAGTGTCATCCAGCGAGACAAGTTTGGGCATTATCTCAGATTCCTACGGCCCCAGAAATCTTCCCAACGACTTCAATATATGCGAATTTGGATCACCTTTTTTGGAGAATTCCTTCAGAGGTGGATTCATCTTCATTTCCTTGGATAATTTGGTATATTTGGAAAGCTCGAAACGAAAAGATCTTTGAAAATATGGATAAAGACCCACTGGAGGTATTACGTTTAGCGGAAAAAGAGGCGCAATCTTGGCAATTAGCCCAATTCGAGCTTATTAATGAAAGTCGTGGTCCTTCAAACTGCGAAACACGAGCTCGAGAGAGAGATATTTCACATGATACTATCTACTCCGGATATCGTTGTTTCGTGGATGGATCATGGAAAGGGACTGATAAATTTTCAGGAACAGGGTGGTTCTGCACATCATCAAATGGAGAGACGCCATCTATGGGAGCAGCCAATATCCGAAGAAGTCTCTCACCTTTACATACCGAAGTGGAAGCTCTTCTCTGGGCGATGAAGTGTATGATTGGAGCCGACAACCAAGATGTAGCTTTTTATACAGACTGTTCAGATCTGGTGAAGATGGTGTCTTCCCCAACCGAATGGCCGGCTTTTTCAGCATATTTGGAAGAAATCAAGAGCGACAAGGAGGAATTTTCAAGCTTCTCTTTATCTTTAATTTCTCGTAGTGCAAATATCAAAGCGGATAATTTGGCACGAAAAGTTCGTACCGAACCGCATCATATCACTTATGTAAACAACATTCCTCAGGAATGGTTCTTTTGAATTTTAATTAAAAGCTGTTGACAAAAAAAAAAAAAAAATAATACATAATGAGTTAATATGCTTGTTAATAAGTTTAAGTTGATGATCCTATAAAAGATTTAAGATGCAACTATTTTCTAGTAATTTTACATTGCGATTTTAATGTTATTTATATGTTTAGTTGTTTTGATGGTTTCACCTAAGATTGATGAATTATTATTTTTATTGTTTTGGAATAAAAGAGTCTCAAAACATTGTTATTTTTTTAAGATGAACTCAGTAATCACAAGTTGAATATTGACGATGTAAGATAATAAGATTATTGGAATGAGAAAATATGAATAAAACATAGAAGTATTCAAACAAAAATTACTTGATCTAAATCCAAAGACAACATTATATGTAGTTAGGGGTGTCAAGTTGGTTAAACCAAACCAAACCAACCCATATCCATAGTGATTTAGTGATTAATGGATAATGAATCAACCCAATTCATTTAGCAAATGGTTTGGATTAACCCATAACTCATTTAAATGAATGGATTAATGGATTTATTGAGTTGATCCATAACATAGTTTTCTTATAATTTAAATAATTAGTAGGAAAATATCATTGGATATGCATAGACTAACAAATAATTAACTCCCTTCGTTTGACACTGTTCTCTCGCCACTGTTCAATTTTTTTTTACGCATGTACCCCTATGTCATCGAGTCGTCTATGCATATAGATTATAGGCTATATCATTGCAGAAGGTAGGAGAAGATTTGTGTTTATTTAAATTTTTTTTTTTAATATTTCGTTGCCCAGTTACCGAACAGTCGTGTTTATTCCGTCCTATATGAGGAGGAGTGACGGCTTTTTGAGACTGAAAGAGGAGGGAAACAACTCCTCAAAACTGTCCTCTCGCATTCTGTTTCTCTGGTTCTGTTTTTCGAGCAAGGGTTTATCTCTCAGATCTGGGTTTTGTTATTCTCGTTTTTTCTGGTAATTAAAATCGATTTTTGTCTGTTTGATTTTTCTTCCGACGACATGTTTTGCGTTGTCTAACTAGAGTTTATCTATTTTTTTCAAGAACCGATGCCTCCGATTCTGCTTCCTCCCCGGTTGATTGCGTTTGGTGAAGAACCTCGCGGCGAGAGGGTTAATGTTTATCATAAGATGAAAACTCTCTGCGTTATCTGCAACGCCCTCGACGATGGTGAAAGGGATTACCTTTCTAGGTCTTCATTCGGTCGCCTGTTGGAGTTTCCTAACTTACCCGCCTGGTCTGCGAGCTTTGGGATTTTTATTTAGGGTAGACAGTTGGAGGTGGCGAAGCCAAACGAGATCTGGGTGCTTTTCGCGGGTATTCCTATTCGTTTTTCTCTGAGAGAGTTCAAGATTGTTACTGGTTTACCTTGTGGGAAGTATCCGAGTTTGAAGAAGAAGAAGAAGAAAGGCACTGCGGGGAAGACGATTCCTTTTTACAGTAAGTTGTTTGGGCTTGAAGAAGATGTAACCGTGGAGAGGGTTATTACGATGTTGAAGAAAAGGATTGTTTCTGATCCTGATATGAGGATCAGATGTGCTTGCTTAGCTATCGTCGATGGTTTCCTTGTACCTACCTCTCATTATCCTAAGATTGTTAAGGCTCACGCTGAAATGGTTGAGGACGTGGATGCTTTTCTCGCTTATCCCTGGGGGCGTCTCTCTTTCGAGATGATGATGAAGTCGATAAAAGAGAGGGAAATTGAACAATTAGCAATTACTTGTTTCAGCGTTCAGGGGTTGCTATACGCTCTGCAATTGGTTGTCTTACAGGCAGCTCCATCTATTCAAGAAGGTCCTGTAATTGAAGAGACCATTGATTCTGAACCTGAAGGCGACGAAGTCGATGTTGAAGAGGCCCCTCGAGAGTCTGTCCCTTTCAAGCTAGGGAATGCTAAAGAGTTGGATAAGAAATGCTCGGTAATACTTTTATCTTTTGACTTTGTTAACACCTAGCAAACTTGTTATCAGAAAAGATTGTATATGTTATCGATAACTATGTCGTTAATCCGTATCGATTTTTATAGTTAATCAAGTTACCGCCACCTGATATTAATATTTGTTTTTTTTTGCAGATTCTTGTTGATTCCATTATTTGTCCTGATTTGGTGTTGGATCCGGAGGAAGATTTGTCTTGGTCTGATGATGAAGAAGATGAGAAGGTTGATAATATTCTAATGTTTGTTGAAGAAGGTCTAATTTTCAAGAATGACATGTTTGATGGTGGATGTATCCCATCCCAGATGCAATTGCCTTCCAAAAAACAAAAGCGTGGTGGTAAATTGAATGGTAGTCGTACCAGGAAAGCTCCCAAACTATCTAAGAACGGTGGGGTTAGGGGGAAACATCAGAGACCCATCCCTGAGGAAGGCGGGAGTCCAGAGGTTGTTTCTTTGGAATCTATTTCTCGCTTGTTGGACTCCAAACTTGATGCTCAGGGGAAAAAAATCATCGCCGCTGTGACTGATTGGTTCACAAAAAACACTGTTATTGAAGGCGAAACCTCGAAAGAGCCTGTCAGTGGTTCTAGTCGTCGTAAGAAGGCCGCCAACAATGGTGACCATGGTGTTTCAAATTCTGATGATCTGGATTCCAACGGTGGTAATGATGATTTTGGTTTTGATACCCAACGCCCCTCCCGTGCCAATGCTCGGTCTCATAACCGCGAAAGAACTTCTAATGTCGAGGCCAGTGTGGATGAAATTTTATCTTTCTACTCTGGGAAGGTGTCCACTGGTGTTGGTTGCAAGGAAGCGGTGGTAATTTTATTTTTTTCTTATCAGTTTCTGTTTTTCTGGGTGTGTGGATTTTTTTCTTGACCCTGTCTTTATTTTTTTGTTTTTAGGGGGTGAACGTTGTTCCAATGGATGAAGACATTCCCACTGCAGGCGATGTTGTCCATGATTCCCAGGTGAGCGAGTAGTCAAAGTTGGGATTTAGATTAGTTATTTCAGAGATTAGGTGCTATCTTAGTTATATGCTAACAGTTACTTTACCATTAAACATATAATGTGGTTTTTGTGTGTTTTTGTTGTATAACATAGTGTGTTATTTATTTTTGCAGGGCGTTAACAATGTTACAGCTGAAGTAATCCCACCCCCAAAATCTGTTGCTGAAGATAACTCCGAGGTTAGTTGTTATGTTTTTGATGGGCTAACAGTGAGTAATATGTGTTAATCTAGTAGTTGTTATTTTGGAGTTTTGGTAACCAGGGTTGCGTTTCCACCCACCGTTAAATTAAATTTCTTTTGAGTTTTTTTTTTGGTTCTAGCATCAAAACAATGTCCCAATAGATGAAAGATCCTTCCTCTCAAGCCGGCCTGATCGCTGATCCGCAGGTAAGCTATTAGTTGTGGTTTTATTCAATTACGAAATTAGTTGCTATCTTGTTAGGGCGCTAATAGTTATCTTATCATCAAACCATATAATTCGTTTTTGTGTGTGTTTTTTTTGTGGATAACAAATTCTGTGCTCATTTGTTTTGCAGGGGGCTAACAATGTGTCAGTTGTTGTTGACACCTCTCCCCAAGCTGTTGGTAAAGATGATTCTGAGGTTAGGTGTTACGTTCTTAGCGTGCTAACAATTTTAGTCTCTAGCAATGTTGTTATGGGATAACAAATACTGTGGACATTTGGTTTTGATCGCAGGCGGTGTTGAACCCCCTCTTCAAGTTGGTGGTGAAGATAATTCAGAGGTTAGTTGTTACGTTCTTAGCGTGCTAATTATTGCTTTAACATCTTATAACTAATTTCACCATTTTTCTTGGTTTGTAATATTGCGGTAAATGTTTTTGTAGGGTGCTAACAATGATTCTGTCGACGTCCTCCTCTCTAAAGGAGTTGTTAATGAGGCAAGATACCAACTTTATTTTAGCGTCGCCCTCCTTCTCTTTTATCGACGTAATCATCATCTTGAATTCACTGTAATTTGCTTTAAAATTTTTTTTTCCTTTTTTCTTTAGCGCGCTGAGACTGTTTCAGTAAATGAATCCATTGTAACTCCCAACGAAACGATCGTTAACGAAGAGGTTAGTTGTTATCTACTTAGTACAGACATTATATACTTAGTGCAGTCATTTGCTGCTTACCTGTTTTTAAAATTTGTTATTGTGATAAGGGACATGTTCATTGCTCTCAGTCGACAGGTGGTGTTGTGGCCCCCCTGCCAAATGCTGTAGAGGAAAGCCAGGTAATAGGTCTATTTTATATTAAAAAGATAGACTATGTCTCCTTTTTGCATTTTATGTTTTTGCTTCTGACTTGATTCATTTCAACTTTTCGTTGCTCAGGGTGTTGCTTCGTCGGATGATGGTAATGATGGCGAGGAGACGTCTGGGGAGATTCCGGATATCTCGGTTAGCAGCTAAATTATCACCCATAATGTTCTGTTTTCCTTAGGATTTTTTTTCCTCTTCTCTTCTACTCTATTTGTAAAGATTAATTTTCTGGTGATAATGTTTTTAGCCGCTAAACTAGCCTTTTTTCGGGTTGTTCTTATTACTTATAACTTTATCGGTGATATAAAAGTTCAATTTTATTTATATTAATATAGTTATATTTATTAATGTGTTTCTCCACTCGAGCCAACTCTAATTTAAATATGAAAGGTTTACGTACTAAGAGTCATATTTATGTTATTCTGTTCAGTATTTTCTATGCCTATTTTTACTTAGTCTCGACCTCAAGTTGTGTGTGGGCTTGTTGGTGATGGGAAAATTAGTGGTGAACCTCTCGGTGTGTCTATGGCTGTTTCAGACACCAATGACCGTGTTAGTTTGATAACTATTTAAAATTTAGGCATCTTGTATTACCGGTTCGGTACTTATGTTGGTTTTTTGTTCTAAAAATTTTTCTTTGTGTAAGGCTGCTCTGCCTTCTGATGGTGGTTTTGTGGGTGATGGGAAGGCGGTTGATATCCCTGTGGGTGTTTCTATGGATATGACAGGAACTAAAGATCTGGTTAGTTTGTTACCAATATCAATATCGGTTTAGATTATTATCTGATTTTTTTGTCATTTCACTATGTTCTAATTACTTACTTAATTCATATCAAGACTCTGACTGTACTGCGGACTCTTCCGGCGAGGGCGATGAACCAATTAAGGAGTCATATAAGCATGTTAGCTTATAACTTGTCATTTATCTGATAATTTTTATCTTTTTTCTATTTGTTAACTTTTTTATTGGTCCTATATTTGTAGGCTGTTGGCAGGGGCGCCCCTTCTGTTGTTTCATCACCCCGCCAGGTTGTATGTTATTTTATATGTTTTAGTTTTGTTTCCAAATAAATCTATAACCCTCTATTAATCGTGCTTTGTGGTTGTTTTTCTCAGGATTCAGACGAGGTATTCTCTAATTGTTTAGTGTTATTGTTTTGGTTAGCCGTTAGTTTTTGTTTTAACTTCTTTCCCAATTTCAGGATTTCACCACTCCCCCCCCCCCTGCCAAAGTAGCGAAGGCTCCCCTATTGGTTTATTTTGATGTTCATTTAGTATTTTTGGTAGTTTAAGTCAAATTTTGCCCCTTTTCTAATTTATTCCCCTCTCCGTGCAGGATGATGGTAATGCAAATAATGTGGATGGAATGCTTGGTAGAAGAAGTAAAAGGCTCCGTACCCTTTCTAGCAAGCTTGATGGTCGATTCCAGTATGATAAGAAAACGAAGTTGTTAGTTGGTCATCCATCCCCGTTGTCAATCAAGCCAATTTATGCGTTGACCCTGAGGAACGCTTCCAAAATTCATTGAAGAAACTCAAGGCGATAAGGTATTGCTTATTCTGGTAATTTTTATGTTAGCGTATACATTGATTTCCATTATATTGCCCCCTCCATAATATTTCATGTAATCTTGTTCTCTGAACAGTTCTATTAGTTTTTGTGGTGGTGTCGCTCTCTCTAATAAAGATATTTTGGATTTAATTGACCGGAAGAAACATCTTTCAAATAAGGTACTATTTTGGTAAAATTTAGGGCTTTATCCCTATTGTGTGGGCATAGATATTGGGGCTTTTCCTTTTTTTTTTTTTTAATTTTTTTTTGTCATCCCACAGGTTATGGATGCTCTCCTAAAGTTTAGTCGTCATTTGTTGAGGACTGATGATGCTGATGGTGAGAAACTTCGTGTTGAAGTCCTTGATACAAAGTTTGTTTCATTATTCTGCCGTCAATTCCCTAAGTTTTCCCGATGCCCCTCCAAAACGGACTTCCAATTCTCAGCGCCTCTAATTGATCTCCTTTCTGGCGTTGGGGAATCTGACCGTGTCCAGTTATTCACAAAGGCTGATTTCCTGTACCTGCCTTTTAACTTTGACAAAAAGCATTGGGTAGCTTTAGCTGTTGATCTTAACTGCCGGAAGATCATTGTCTTAGATTCGAATATTCAACGCCGCAGAGATTCTGCGATTCAGGATGAGCTTATGCCTCTTGCAGTAATGCTGCCATACCTTTTCAAACAGGCTACTTTCAATCCTCTTATGAGTAACTGTCTGCCGAATCCATTTTCTGTAGAGCGCTCTCTTGTCATTCCCCAGGTTGTTTCACCCCTTGATTCCGGCATCTTCTCTATATTCCTGATCCATACTCATGCTACCGGGGGTGTAACTGAATGTGTGGATTTCGAGATTGGTGGCCTTCAAAGTGAAGTGAAAAAGTTAGTCTCCGCTTTAATTCTTGCTGGCGGTTACTAGCTAACTGAAATGTTATCCTAATCCCTTCTCAGTGGTGTTTATGTTCCCTTCTCGGCTCCTGTATCCCCTTCTTCTTTATTGTGTTTGACCAGGATTTTATCCAAACTTTGTTTTTAATATCTTTGTAATTGAATGTTTTCTTATCGAAGCAACGGTGTTATCTCCTATCATAGTTATATTTTATAATAGTTATCTTGGATTTTAGAAGTTAACTTTATAAGGGTAGACTAGCCTTATCAGATCATGTTTGTTGTTTTCTTTGCTTTTTGCGATTACTGATAGAAGGTTTATTGGGTTAGCTTCTAGTTTGTCGTTATTTCTTTTATCGGCTAACATTTTATCCTCTCGTACATAAGCTGACTTCTAGCTCTGTTCAAAGAGAAGTTGGATTCCCCAGTTTAATTTTGAGTTGTTGAACAGACTGGGTCAATATGTGTTATCGCCGGTTTTATTGTAGTTATCCGTTAGTTGTTTTATCGGTTTAAACTGTTGCCCTATTTACTCGTTGTTTAGCTCACTTTCAACTCAGTGTATACAGAAGTTTGGTCCCAATTTAATATACATGCTTCATCGTATTGGGACAACATTTGTTATAATCGGTATTATTTTTAGTATCCGGTAGCTGTTATATCTTGACCCCATTTCGAGCTCAGGTCATTGTAGGTGGCTTCAAGTTTAATACTTAGGTTTCAACATATCGTTGTGTTATTTTAATTACCCGCTAGTAGTTATATCGACTAACAAGGTTACCCATTTTAAACTCGTGTTTTCTTTGAGGAAATCCCGTATTTTCACGACGTCGTTTCGTGAGCCCTCTTTTTAACCCAACATATCTTACTCTTTACCTTTAATCTGTAGTCATAAATTGATTTGGGTTTTTTTCTAATTAGGGTTCTGGGTCTGCGAAGAGCTTCCTAATTCCCAAGCAACAATGTCTTCATCAGCTTCTTCAGGTAAGTAATGGAGATTGTAATGTGTTTAGTTTCTTAAAAAATGTATGTAGATTATGATAGATTCATTTTTTTTTGCGGATTTGTGAAGGAGTGAGCAATAGTCTTTCTGTCGGAGGAAGTGGAATCCCAAAACAATGTAGCTGTGGTAAATTCGCTGTGATTAAGACTTCAAACACCGTGAAAAATCCTGGAAGACTCTTTTATTGTTGTCCTAGCGGATCGGAAGAGGTATTTTTTCTTAAGCTATATAATCTAGTATTAAGAAGAGTAAATTGTCCTCATGGGTGTATTTTTGTTCTAGAATAAGAATCATTTGTTTAAGTGGACCGACATATCCATGGTTGAAGAGATGGAAGAGGTTGAAAGTATGGTTGAGAAGATTGAAGGAGATGTGGGAAACTTAGCAAAAGCATTACATGATCTTGCAGCTATCAAAGAATGCGCAGAAAGGTGTGAGAAAGAGATTGTGTATCTCAAAGGTGTTGTCAGTTTGTGTGAGAAAGAGATCCAAGAGCTACGGAGCTTCAAAAATATGATTGTGTGTGGTGGTTTGGTCATGGCTGGTGTCTACTATTTCTTCTTTGCATAACAGTTCTATTCCTGTAGTTTGTGTAAATTTGTATTGTTGTTTATGAGATTGTCTTGTATTTGGTTATGAAAAGTATGTACTAGGAATTATGTCGTTTGTAACAGATAACAATTTATCGCGATACTGTTGTTATCTGATCGTGTTATTAGTTTTGACTCTTTTGCAAAACCACAGAGGGAATATAGTTTGTAATTGAGTTAGGCTTTACCTAATGTATTGTTGTTTATGAGATTGTCTTGTATTGGTTTATGAGAAGTATGTACTGGGAATTAGATGGTTTGTAACAGATAACAGTTTATCGCGATACTGTTGTTATCTGATCGTGTTATTAGTTTTCACTATTTTGCAAAAACACAGAGGGAATATAGGTTGTAATTGAGTTAGGCTTTATATAATGTATCGCCTATCATGGTTATCAGGATGAAAAACTTTGCTTCGATCCAATAATTTTGGAGAATATGTGTTATCTTTGTTAGCAGATACCGGTTTTTTCAGATAATTGTAAATAGTATCCTGTCATCTCTATCCTTTGTTGTAATTTCCAATTTTTATCCCAACCTATGGATGATAAATAATAGTATATCTTGATAACTTACTTATCCGAGCTTATTCTCGGGTTAGCTAGCAACGGGGCATAGAGATTGCTCTATCATTGATACGCTTAATAAACATTGTCATTATATTGAACATTCCTTCCTTAAAGATGGATGGGATTCGATAATTTTACATTTAAGGAACAGAAGCCGTACGTATATACAATGAAAAATTTCTGATCCTCTGAGCTCCTTATTTATTTCACATCGCCAGACCTTTTTCTCTGTTAATCCTGACAACATCCATCCACCACTTTCCTCGCCAAAAAACTTCCTTGCTCCCTTTCTCTATGGCCCCTGCATCCCAAAGAGATACAGTCAATATCCCTTAATTTATTTATTAACTGTTAATGTATTTATTACCGTTATTGGGCATCTTTTCCTTGATGTTCTCTACAAATATAACAGAATGTTACCCCCTAATAGTGTTATCATATAAACAAGTTACTAGTGTTTATCTCATAATTGTTCACGGTTGTTACTTTGAACTCGCCTCTTGAGAATAACCTTCGTTTCCTGGGTCGGCCAGGCGGTCTCCGGACATATGGTGGAGCCAGTTTCCCCACCCCCCCCCCCTACATCGTTTGGGGAAGGTGTCAGCGTCTCCGTGTCTGGTACCGGCATGATTAGTGCTTGGTAAGACAACCTAAGCTGGGGGTGGTGTGATGGACTCCAACCATTGTGTCCACTCGGATTCCTTCTTGTATTGCTGCCGCTATGGCATGAGAGCAAGGGATTGTTAGCAGCTGAAACTCCCTGCACGTACATGTTCTCTCCCATAGATTGACCGCAAAAGCTGCGCCTCCTTTTTCTCTAACTTCATATAGCCCATCCCTAATCTTTATTACAGCACATCCCGCTCCCTTCTCGTAATTTTCGATTACCATATCGTGCACCTTTGGTGGTAGGATATTGTCCTCAAGCTGGGCAGCTTGCCTCCTAAGCGCAAACCATGTTACGAGAGTTGTGCGGATAGACTCTAAGATTGAGATTACCGGGTAATCGCGCGCCATGGTTAACACATTGTTTAGCGACTCCGCAATATTACTTGTCATGAAGTTATATCTATTTCCAACAAAATGGGATCTCGTCCAATGCTCAAACCCTATACCTGCAAGGTAGTCAGCGCACGGTCCATGTTTAGCCCTAATTTCTGCAAAAATCCGGTTGAAGTCACTTAGCCGATAAGCTCTCGCTGCACTTGATACCAGGGCACTTAGCTGATCAGATTTAAAGTAAGCCTCAATGTTCCTTTTCAGATGGACGATGCAAGCAGCATGAGATGACATTGGGTAAACCTGCGCAAAGACCAGAGGCGTTAATGTTTATTTTAGCACGCGACATATATTTTGGGATAAGTTCATTTGTATCCGTTATTAACTATGTTATTTCGGTACCTTGCGGATGCTGGAATAAATTAAGGAGTGCCTGTCAGACACAAACACCAACTCCGGATCATCTGGTATAGCTTCTGTCAGCTTAGTCATGAACCAAGTCCACGCCTCATCGTTCTCACTGTTTACTATCCCAAATGCAATGGGAAACACTTGAAAATTCGCGTCTTGTGCACTAGCTGCAATCTTTGTTTGAAAAATCGCTAGGCGCTAGTCGGGCGCTCGGCATGGACCTAGCGATTAATCGGAAAATCGGATTAAAATCGGGGATTAATCGGAGATTAGTTTTAGGGTTATTTTAATATTTTTAAAATATATTAATCCAATATTGTAAAAATTTATGATTTTTATTACAAATTTAAGATTTTTATTAAAATTTGAACACAAGTTAATTGTAAAACATCACAAACTCCCAATTCAAATGATTGAATAACAAAAATAAAAAGTTTTTTTATACTTGCAATCTAAAAAATAATCGGGGTATATAAGATTAGGCGGGAAATAATCGGATTAGGCGGAAAATAATCGGATTAGGCGGAGAATAATCGGGTTACTGATTTTTTAGGGGATTAGTCATTAATCGAAGCGGATAAGGTGGGCCTAGCGATTAAGCGGGGAGTAATCGGGGCTAGGCGGGGATTTTTAGAACAAGGGCTGCAATTAAGCATCCGCCATATCGTCCTCGTAGGTGAGTCCCATCAATGACTATCACCTTCCTCAAGTAAGCATACCCTTGAACACATGCATGAAGCGCAAAAAACAAGTACTTGAATCTCTCTACGCCAGAGTTATCCTTCTCAGTCTCCATTGCTACTAGGGAATTTGGATTTGTCTCTAAAAGTAGCTTGAAGTATGGTTGGATTAGAGCGTAACTTCCCATAGCTGACCCCATTGCATTGTCCATAGCTATTTCTCTTGCCCGCCATGCTTTCCAATATGAGACGTTGAGGCTGAATTCCTGTCGTAGCATCCTTCTCAGCTCATTAGCTCGTGGTCCCCTGCCTACTCCAATTTATTTCGTTCGCATTAACTTCCCAATTACAGCCGTTGACGCTTGCTTGTGAAAGTCTCCTCTAGCATCCACGCTACATGTGTGGTTTGGAGTTGTGCTTCTGACCTGGAACCGATCGCTATCTGCTAGCTTAGTTGCATAAACCCGCCACGGACATGTATGGCTGACGCAGACAGCTGCCACAACGTTAGGCCTGGATTTCGCGTATATGAAATGGAACTTTCGACGAATCGCATGAATGGCTAATTTAGTTGCACAATCCTCTTTTGTTTTGAAAATCCTCCCTATGTAAATGTCATCTCCTTCATAGTCAGCATCCTTTAGGGCTCTTTGGAGAGCATCTGAGAATGATGAAACAAAGCAGCCGACATTAATAATCAATTCATGCGCTAAATATTATTTTATCCTGATAGTGACGTTACCTCGATAACTAGTTGTTTGATAACTAGTTTCTTAACATAAGGATAAAATATTATTTAGCGATCTAACACTATTGTTATTGTATATTGTTAATATTTATTCGTTACCTTCCTCTCCTGGATCGTCGAAATATGGGGGGCCATCTCTGTCATAGAAGACCGTTGGAACGGGTGTATCCTTCACGATCATCTCATTCCTCTGTACCTCCGACACTCTTGTGTTAGTTGATGGCATTTCTATTTCTTTAGTGGATAATCCGTCGTCTATCGTGATACTAGCTTTTGCCTTTATCTATCATTGTGATAGGTTGAGCATCCATAATCTGTGGGCCATCATGATCAGAATAAAAGTGTGCTAGTGTTTCGTCACCTACAGTTAGAAGATTTTGATGGTTGTTAGTAACACATAATATAATTAGCGGATAATATATTAAGTATTGTCTAACATACCTAAGAGCGATAAGCTGTTGTTGTTCGACGAGCCAGTATCATCCATTACATCTTCGGTACTGAAAGAAATGCTTGTCGAAAGCGAAGTTGGCGTTCCGAAGGATGAATCGCTCGACGATAAAGCGACAACTGGTGGACCAACAGCTTGTGCTTCTGCACTCGCAAGGGTTAGACGCAAATTCTCATTTGGATCTCCCTTTGCCTGATCGCTACCTCCAAAATCTAGGACTCTCGCTGTTTTCTCTTTCTCGCCCACATTTGTTGGATTAGTTTGAGTTCCCCCTAGGGTCATTTGTGTTGAACACATCTCTCGCCACATTTCTTCCTGTTGGGTTTTTTGCCACACCTCAAATAAACGATCTCTTTCCCTTTCCTCGTCATCAATAACTTTCTCTTTTCCCTTCAAGCTTGTAATTGCTCCAGGTTGTGTTAATTTTGTTGGCGTCCCGCTAGTCCCGGTTGTAATATCCATGTTGTCTCGTATGGTTACCCCTCCATACGTGTTGTGCTGCTCCCCGGCTTTACTTATGTTCATCTCGTTGTCTTTCCCCATGGTTGTCATACCGTCTGCGTCACCTGAAACATGTTTACTGTTAGTAGATATCCATTTTATCGACTAATGTTAATAACTACCCATAATGTTGATTTTGAGCTTGAAATATATACTCTGGAATGTAGTTATCAGTTTATCACCTGAAATGTTACTCAGTAACATTCGTGTTAGCGCGGTTCCCCACACAGCCCTCGTTTCTGCGCTATTCCAGTATCTATCCGATATTTCTTTCGAACTTAGGCCGCTTAGATCCATGTTACTCCGATAACTGTTAACGTTTCGCTCATTCCCACCTCGTATAATCTTGGCCCGCAGATGGACTTCATCTAGATCCGCCCTTATTGCCATGAACAGAGTCATGTCTTCATCGTCTAATATATCGATCGGGTTTGCGCGTCTCCAATCAGGACCCATCATCCACTGTGGCCACTGGTACGTTAACTCGATATCGTCTTCAGGACGCAGCATTAACTTTTCTTTTACCGCCATAACCACTTTGGCAAACCCATCTTGCTCTCGCAGTCGCACTGCTAGTGCAAACCCATCCATCTGCGAAACGTGTTCGAAAAAGCCGTTTTCATCTTTTTTCCATTCCCCAGGGACCAATCTCACCACGAACGCCATTTTTACCTGCTGGAGTTTTCAACAATAACAAAATTGTTAGCATTCTTGTTATTCTTAACTACGAAACCCTAAAAATTAAAAATCAATCACTCTTCAAAACATAAACATTAAAGTACGTAATACCCAAAACTTTTACTTTTACCTTTATGCTTTGATTTCTCTGTGTGTTTATCCTCTTCTTGCATTAAAGTTGTCGGAAGCTAAGCTATTTAGTGTGATAGAACTGGGTTGTTGCAGCAAAGAGGATATAGTGCTAATAAATAGACCAACGCCTATATTCGATATACCCGCAACCCCATATATATCAGCTGTAATGATTTACCGTATCTTTGTGTTTCCAATGCCGGCGGGCGATATCTTCCAAGATATCCTTTGCATTTAATGCCGCCGCTCCTACGCTATAAACTGGTTAATTGGTTTTCGGTTTTATAGGGGCTTTTTGGTCAATATTTCTGTCGGGGATGATGGAGATTTAATTTCTGGATCTTCATGCATAGATACTTAATATTCTGTTCGTGTGGGCATAGATATTAATATAGCCCTAATTAGTAACTATCATGTTACCACCACCATCATCATCATCAGTCCATCATCATCATCAATTCACCACCACCATCACCACCACCACCATCATCATCATCATCATCATCATCATCATCATCATCATCATCATCATCATCGATCATCATCATCGTCATCACCTAATTTGATCATCATTCACCATGGTGGAGTTCCGTCATGGAGTGTAGTCGAAAAATTGTCACTGCCAATGCCAACGAAATTCTTGTCTCTATGATCATTGGTTCTTAAATTGATCAAAGAGAAAGGTTTACGCTTGCATCATGGTTACACCAACGCAGTCGACATGATGTCCCAAAACGACGAACAAGGACTCCACGAGCGGCGATGAGGGATTCGAGCGTCGGTGGCTTTGCCGGTGAACGGTGTTGTTGGCTTTGTCGTTGAACGTCGTCGATGGATTTGCCGGTGAACGGCGTTGTTGGCTTCATCGTTGAACGTCATCGATGGATTGAGAGAGATCGACATTGAGAGATTTGACGCCGAGAGAGATCGACGGTTAAGAGATTTGACAAAATTATGTTTGTTTCGGTTTACAAAAATCGGTTTAGCTATTCAATTCGGTTATATTTGGTTTACGTATTTGATTTCAATTTTTTAATTTGTACTGGTTTGGTTATGGATAACCCATTAATCCATTTTAAACCCAACCATTTCAATCCAACTCATTAAACTCATTAAACCATTTAATCCATTAATCCATTAATATCCAAATTTTCAACTCATTATATCCATGAGTTGGATTGGATTGGATTGATCCATCAATTTCAAACCATTTTGACACCCCTATATGTAGTTAACTTAGTTTCAACTTTGTACTTTGTATTATGACTTCATCATTAAAAAATGTTAGTTATTTGTTTTTTTTGTTTTTTAGTATTAATCATTTGATGGGGATTAAAAGAATAAGAAAAAGAAGAAAATAGGTAATTATAAGCCTATAATATAAAGGTCTTGATAAGTTGTATAAGGGTAGTAAAAATTGAACGTCCTTATTAAAATCTCCTTTGCTCAAAAAAGATCAAAGGGTTGAGAAATAAAGTACAAATTCGTCTTAAATCGTTTGGTCAATTAATCATAAAAATAAATATAATCAATTAAATATAAAACAAAACAAAATATATAAGTATTTCAATATACCATATGATTGAAGTTGTTTACAGTTCTCAATGACTTCATTTTGAATATACTTAAACACTTCAAGTATAAAAAATAAATATCTAAGCAATCATAATAATATTTTAATACAGAAATCCACTAAATATTACCATATATCTCAAGAGAAAGTTGTAGATTATGTCTTGTTCTATTGCTAAAAATCACGACTAATAGTTTATCTATAGGGAATCTATACCCGGTGACCACAGACGAATGAAAAATTAACTGACAGGTTTTGAGACTATTTGCACGGGGTCTGTAGCAAAATTTTGACTATCAAACCACTACACACCTATCGGCTAAAAGCGAGAAATATTTTGTATACAGTATTCTTGTGTCAGAAACCGAGATATCATATCTCTCTCTTAGATTTGATTTTCGAAATTTCTTTGGGAATAGTATTTGTATTAATCATGAGGACGGCGAGAAATCGAAGGGTCGTGTTTTTTGGGTTCTATATCAACTGCTTTTTATTTTTTTCAAACTGTTTCTAATTTCTTCCATCTTCGAGTTCCATTTTTTTCTCCGGTGTTCTCATCATCTTCTGTGGTTGATTGAGCCGAGTTCTATAATCAATTTTGGGTTCTATAATCTTTCAGATGCTGCTTTCAATCGATTAATTCGTTCAAGTAAGGCTTTAAATTATACACTGTTTCCATTCAATTTCATTCTTTTTTGGGTTTAACAGTGTTTTCTATATGGGTTTCGTAGATGGAAGATCTCGACATTCCACATCGCCTAATCGCTGCTGGTGAAGAACCCCTTGGAGAGAGGGCTAATATTTACAACAAAATGAAAACTCTTAGAGGCATCATCGATTCGTTGGATCAAACCGAAATCCAGTTAATCCAAGACTCTCCTCTCGGTGGTTTGTTGGATTTTCCAAACAAGCCTGCTTGGTCTGCGAGTTTCGGTCTTTTTCTGCTTGGTCGTCAGTTGGACATCGCGAAATCAAACGAGATATGGGTCGTTTATTCTGGGACGCCTGTTCGATTCTCTCTCTGTGAGTTTCATCTGGTTACCGGGCTTGCTTGTGGGCGTTATCCCGCCATCCCGAAAAAAAAAAGAAGGGGACCGCCGGGAAAAAGATTCCTTTCTATAGCACAATATTTGGCCTCGAGACAGATGTCACTGTTGAGCGAGTTATTACTATGCTCAAGAAAAAAGTTACTGATGATCCATCCTTGCGGATTCGCTATGCTGTTCTTGCACTGGTTGACGGTTATCTCCTGCCCACATCTCATCATCCCAAAATTTTGAAAGAGCATGCCAAAATGTCAGAAAATCTAACTTCCTTTCTCACTTACCCCTGGGGTCGTCTGACTTTTGAGATGATGATGAATTCGATCAAAGATAGAGAACTTGAACAGCTCGCAACTACTTCGGTGGTTGTGCAAGGTCTATTATACGCCCTGCAGCTTGTTGTCCTTGAAGTCGTCCCTGCTATACAAGAAGGTCCTCTGTTGGAAGAGACAGTTGGGTCTGAGTCTGATGAAGAGAGTGTGGAAATTATCCCTCATCAAGTGAACCCGTTTAAGCTCGGAAACGCCAAAGAGCTAGATCTCAAATGTCAGGTAATAAATTATTTAGTAGCTGATCCGTATTTTCTTATCAACTAATGTCATTGTTGTAGTTATCAACTTAGCCGGAAATATTTTTTTTTTCTTTACTAATATCATTGTTACCGTCTTAAATTTATTAGACTCTTGTCTCTCCAATAATTCATCCCGAAGCTGTTCTTGATGATGGTGAAGATGTTTCCTGGTCAGATGACGAAGTAGATCCGAGGGTAGATAAGATTGTTTCTCTGGCGGAGCAAGGTTTCAAGTTCAACAACGATATGTTTCCCGGTGGTTGCATCCCCTCTCAAGTGGTAGTAAGCTCCGAAAAAACAAAAAAGATCTGCAATATTGAAATGTGGTTGTGTTAGGAAAGGCTCAAAGCAGGGGAAAAATCCTAGAAACCCAACTGGTATATTAGACGGTCCCACCAATCCCCGCCGATTGAGGAGGCTGCGGGCTCTGGTTCGTTTGATATGAACGCTCTATCTCGTATGTTAGATGCAAAACTTAATGCCCACTCCAAAAAGATTATCAAAGGCTCAAAGCTGTTACTGATTGGTTTATATAGGAAAATTGAGTATTCTTAGCGGCCGAATAACGCTATCTAACGATAAGATAGCGGAGTAGAAAGCGCTATATCTGCGCCCATGATAATAGGTCGACGGCTTCCGATAGCGGTTTTTGGTGGTGCTATATTTTGTTTACATATTATAGCGTGTTTTCTTATGCAATGTATTATTATATAGTAGCCAGTATATTTTGTTATTAATTATCAAATTACATCATTTGTTATATGCAATTTAATCAATTAGAATAGCATTTATAATACGCAATTTATTCAATTAAAATAGCATTTGTATTATGCAATATATTGTGGTTTTGTTTTGGGAAAAATGTCGGAAAATGCGCGAACTTTCAAATTTGGGACAAAAAAAGCATGAACTTTCGAAATGTCATTTAAATCATAAAGTTTAGTTTGACTTTTGATTAAATGGTTAAGTTTTCGTTGACCTGGCAATTTCGGACATGTCGTTAAATTTCCGTTAACGAGACGATGACGGGGTTAACTTTCCGTTAGAAATCTCCGTTGAATCGAAACGACGGAAAGTTCGATTCTTCACAGACGCAGTTAATTCATTTTATTTTCCAGTGAAATGACGTCGTTTTGTTGTTTTTAAACCTATGTCGTTTCGATTCAACGAAGATTTCTAACAGAAAGTTAACCCCGTCAACGTCTCGTTAAAGGAAATTTAACGACATGCCCGAAATGGCCAAGTCAACGAAAACTTAACCATTTTATAAAAAGTCAAACTAAACTTTATGATTTAAATGACATTTCAAAAGTTCAAGATTTTTTTGTACCAAATTTGAAAGTTGGCGCATTTTCCGACATTTTTCCCGTTTTGTTTTTGTTTTTTTTGCACTATACATAATTTTCAATCCGGTTTGAATTAATGAAGAATAATACAATTAAATAAGAACTCTAGTTTGACTACATTAGTTTCAAAACCAAACCGAAATAACTTTATTTGTGTCACACAACCATAAATTTCAATTTAAGCTACTTAACATTATCTTGCTTCAAACCAGGAGCTTATCGTTAGGCCTCATCAATAGTATGACTTCTACACCTTCATGTCCAAAATCTTTTTTACAGTCTTGATGTTTTTAATTAAGCTCTGCATGAAACAAAATTTTAAGAATTTAAGAGCAAATTAACATCATGTGAAACTAGAGTAAATATCATACTAAATCAGATTTAACTTCAGACCAAAATCATAGATTAAGTTTTTTTAACAAACTTCTTGATACCTGCATGTTTCATATAAACATTTCAATAACCGTATATTACAACCAATAAACAAAATTAACTAATCAAAATAAACCCAACACCTCATGAGTAAAGAATGTGCACATACCACATAGATCGTTGATCCTCGTGCCAAGTTTCTTAATTTTATACACCACTTTCTTGATAGTTGCAGAGTAAGTCCTTATCCTTTGCAGACGAATGAGATTTTAGAAGAAAGAAACATATGGAGAGCGAATAAATACAAACAAGTATGACTATGAATGTTTCCACTTAGACTAATATTCAAATAGTGAGGTAGAGTCACGTGAAACTCTTCATCTAAGCACAAAATTGAACTAAACAGATTAATCATGCTCATCTAAGAGCAAGTACGAATGAATCTAGCTTGAAATTACTTAGGAGAAAGATATCAAATTGGTTTACAAATAGACAAAGCCCTCACATTCGAGAAACCAAACCTAGTAAATTTGACTAACCACTATATATAATGCAAACGTTAAGGACTCACACAAAACCAAATCGTTAAGGACTCACACAAAACGTGTAAAGAAGAGAGGTTGTCGAGACGTGTAGGCCACAAATTTTTTTGTGAAGGACTCACCAACTTGATTCAACTAACTTCTAATTGTTTTCTGAGACTTTTTGCCACAAATTTATTCAAACTCACTTGGAAACCAAAATCAAGACACCCTCACAACAACAAAAACATAACATGTCTACTAAGTAAGACTGCGTGGAGTGCATAAAAACTTTGTATATAAACAAACGAAAACAGTAAGCACCTAGTTTTAACAGCAACAACACAAAACCTAAATCAACACAAAACAGTTAAGAAACAAGCAAGCCAATAATGAGGCAATTCGTCGAACACCTGGAGGGCATGAAAAGCATCATTAGAACATAAACCACTCCACTCCGGCCAAAATCTTCTAAGAAATCAATATAATCCAAATCGATCAAACCCTAACAAAATCTAACGCAAGTGCTCATGAATCTACTGAACCCTAACAAAATCATACCTGCGACGAAGATGTTTTGGGGTTTCTGGCCAACGAAATCAAAAGCTATGGTTTAGGGGATCTGGACGAGCGACGAAGATGGAGGATGAAGAATTCATAGAATTTAAGAAGAAGAAGAATTTGGGGATAATAGCGAGAATGACAAAGAGTGATAGAAATTGATAAAATCCAATAGATCTAGGGGTGTATAATCATAGGAAAAGAGTGACTAGGTAAAGGAGAGCTAAGGAGAAGGGAAGAATTAAGGAAGAAGGGAAGAATTGAGAAAGAGAGTGTAAAAGAGAGAAAGAGGATGGAGAAGATAGAAATTAGGTTTTGATTTTTAATTTGAGCCTTTTTTTTATTTTTTGGCTAAGTGTTGGCGGTCTGGGCAAATGTTTCGTTAAATATTGGCGGTCCTAAGTGATTTTAGTTTCGGCTCTGTTATTAGAAGGTTTAGCGTTTCTGAAATGTTATAATATTGTTACCAAAATTCGAGTATCATCTTTAATAGCAGTTACGAAAATACGCTATCGTAATGTGCTATCAATACTCATATTTCTTGTAGTGACATAATTCATAGCGTTTACAATTTCACAAACGCTATCCTAAATGTAAGGTTAAGTATAATATAGCAGAACCACACCAATTGCTATCTTCTAATGCTAAGGATACTCACTATTCTTGTAGAATTTCTTTCAAACACCGTGATATCTGGCGAGAATGGGGAAAAAGTTCAGTTGTCTGATAAAAATCCTCTAGGCAACTCTGTTGAGGATGAGGGTGGTGACAGTCTTTTACGTCGTCCCCGTCGCCGGAGCAACCATGCAAAGGTTTTCTCCCAACCGCCCCAACGGAGTATCAGTATTGATGGCACTGTTGAGGATATAGCTGCTTTTTATAATGGGAATTTTGTCGGGGAGTTTAGTGGTTCAAGGCGAAACAATGTTGAAGTCAATCAAGTTAATGGAGATGGCGGTGTAGCCGATAACCTTCAGGTTAGCGGGGTAATTATGTTCTTGGGTTCTGCCATAGGCGATTATTAATATTGGAGAGGTTTACCTGCTAACCATATGTTTATTCTTTTTGTTTATTACCCGCTAACATCTATATATTCATTATTAATGTAGTCGGCAAAGGAAGTTAGTCTTGATGTTCCAAATGGTATGACAACAGAGAAGCCGGTAAGCTTTTTAAAGCAATTTAGTTATTAGGAGCTACTAAACAATTTTTATCTTTTTTTTTTTTTTTTTTTTTTTTTTTTTTTTTTTTTTTAATTTCCATCTTCATTAAAAAACAAACACAGTTACAGCAGAGATACAACATAGAACTAGAAGGGAACGATACAAAGAGAAACAAAGCTTACCTACTTACCACATTAAGGTTGGAAAAATTCAAACCAAGTAGATAACAGAGATACCGAATTAGAACGTTGCGCCCTAGAGAGAGGATCAAGCTTACACCTAAGAGAGTTCTGAATATCGATAATAAGGCTCGACGGAGGGCGAGAAGACTGAGAGTGTAGTCTTGAGTTCCTTTCTTTCCAAATCGAATAAATAGAAGCCTGGAAGAGAAGCTTGAGAATCAACGACAAGTTTTTGTTTGGGCTAGGGTCTTTGATCCATCTAAGTCCATGTTCCAAAAGAATTGGAGGAGAAACATGAGCTTTAGATGAGAAAAAAGACCAAACCTCATTAGAAAAAACACAATCGAAGAAGAGATGTTGAAGAGTCTCATCAAAGGAGTTGCAGAGGAGGCAAGAGGATGGGACATTAAGTCCCCAACGAATAAGCCTATCACGGGTATGTAACCTTTGGCGAGCAACTACCCAAGTGATGAAAGAGTGTTTGGGGATAGCTCCTTTAAACCAAACCGACTCATGCCAATAAACCGCTGGACCAGGAGGGTTCAAGAAATGCCAAGTAGAGGAGGCTGAGAACTTAGAAGATGGAGTAGAATCTCCAATCTTCCACAAGAACTTGTCATCTTCCCTTGAGGGATCAATAATATCTGCTGAGGGAAGGCATTGCTTCAAGAGAGATATAGTAGAGTTTCGAGATCTGCTTCTAGATAACCACCAATCACCATCACGAATAGCATCTGCCACCAAAGAATCCGCAGGGAGACCAACAATGCGGGGACCAGAATCACCTGTGATCTCAATCAAAGGGCCAAGAGATGTCCAATCGTCTTTCCAAAAACTACAAGTAATACCTGAACCAATCTCACAAAAAACAAACGGTCTAGCGAGAGGGCGCAGTTTACAAATATTTCTCCAAATCCAACTACCAGCAACAGAAGAATCCAGCTCCCAAAAATTTGTGGAACCAATTAAATGTAGCCTGATCCAAGACACCCAAAGGGATCCACCAGCTGCAAAAATCAACCAAATCAGCTTAAGGCACAAAACCTTGTTCCAAGCCAATAGTCTCCTAAGTCCAAGTCCTCCACTTTCCTTAGGAGTACACACTGATTCCCAGCTGATTTTAGCACCTCGAGCCGAGTTAGGAGCTCCTTTCCATAAGAAGCCACTGCACATTTTCTCAATCTCATCCAAGCATTGGTTGGGCAGCAAAAAAATAGAAGCCCAGAAGGTTATCGTCGAGTAAATGACTGACCTGATCAATTGCAATCTACCAGCAAAGGAAAGCATTTTTACTGACCAGGCCTGAAACCTTTGAGAGATCCTGTCCAATAAGGGTTGATAGTCCTGTTTTCTGAGTTTCTTAGAGGTCAACGGGACTCCGAGGTAGCGAACAGGGAATGATCCACATTGAAGACCAACCCTCGCTGACATGTCTTGAACAAGCTGAAAATTACCCCCATCCAGAAACAATGCAGTCTTGTCTGTGTTAAGTCCTAGTCCAGAAACTCCTTTGAAGAGATGAAGAATATTAAGAACAGCTTCTAAGGAGGATTCCACTCCATCAAAGAAAATAAGGACATCATCTGCAAAGCTAAGGTGGGTAATGAGAGGAGCTTGACATAAAGGGTGAACACCAAATTCTTGTCTCACAGCCCCTGCATCAAGCTGTTTAGAGAGCACATCCATAGCGAGAACAAATAACAGGGAAGAAATTGGATCACCTTGACGCAGTCCTTTCTTACCAGGGAAGAAACCAAGCAGTTCACCGTTGAAACAAATGCTAAAGGAAGTGGAAGATATACACTCCTTAATCCACTTAATGAAAAGGTCTGGAAGGTCAATAGCTTTGAGGACATTAATCAAAAAATCCCAGTTTAGACTATCATACGCCTTAGTGATATCAATCTGGAGGCAGCCTCTAGTAACCTCACCAGTAACATGAAAATCATTAACCAGTTCAGAGGCAAGAAGAACATTTTCACAAAGTAACCGTCCCTTGACAAAACCCACCTGATTGAGCTGAACCGCATCAGAGATGAAAAGTTTGAGCCTCCTTTTGATTATTCTGGCAATAACCTTGTACAAAGTGGTGCAGCAAGAGACCGGTCTGAACTGAGATAAGGAATCGGCTGCAGTAACCTTAGGAATCAAGGCAATTGCAGTGGCGTTGAAACGCCGAGGAAGATGACCAGAAATGAAAAACTCTTTGATGGCTGCAATAGTATCATCACCAATAATGTCCCAAGCCTCCAAATAAAACTCCAAAGGAAATCCATCGGGGCCAGGAGCTTTATTCTTAGGCATCTTAAACAGAGTGTCTTTAATTTCCTGACTAGAAGGAATAGCCAGTAACTGAGGGTATAGTGACGATGGACACCTAAAACTCATCAGCCCTTGAATCTCCTCAACACTCATAGGAGAAACACCTAGACTTTCAGTTCCCAACAGATTCTGAAAATAAGAGAGAGTCATATCTTTAATCTGATCCTGATTTTCAATTCGCTGACCATCATTACCTCTCAGAAGCTTGATGCAATTCCTAGCATAGTTAGAGGCAGCAACACGAAAAAAATAAGATGTATTAGCATCACCATCAGCCATCCATCTTACTCTTGATTTCTGACGATAAAATATTTCCTGAGCTTTGGCGAAAAAATTCCATTTCTGTCTAGCAACATGTTCCTCCCTGAATAGAGAATGAGAGGGATTAGACAGCAAAGCCGATTGGATTGACTCAAGGGAGAGAAGAGAGTCCTTAGTCTTTTGCTGGATGTTACCAAAACCTTCCCTGTTTAATTTTTTGCACGCCACTTTTACTTCCTTTAACCTCTGCCCAAAAGTAAAAAGCCTGGAGCCAACACAAACCTCTTGAGCCCAAGCTAAAGCAATAATCTCCTTGAACTTGGGGTGAGAGGATAAGAATGAGAAATACTTGAAAGACTTTTTACTTCTCTCAACAGAAGCATCAGTGTTTACTAAGCATGGCGAATGATCTGAATCTCCAGGAGGATCAAAGATGGCAAAAGAATCAGGAAAACAGTTAAGCCAATCCTCATTGATCAAAGCTCTATCCAATTTGCGCAGCACAGGATCAGCAGGTTGACCATTTGACCAAGTATAAAATACCCCTCTGCTAGTCAAATCAAACAGGTCATTACTGACTAAGCAATCCTGAAACTCAGCCATTCCGGCAAGAGGAAGATTATGAGGGATTATAGAAAAATGCTCATCTGCAGAAACAATTTGGTTGAAGTCACCAAGTAGCAACCACGGCCTGAAGGAAGCAGGAGAGTGCTGAGAAATGAAAGACAGCTCCTCCCAAAGCAGTCTTCTCTGGATCACCGTGTTGAAAGCATAGACAAAAGCAACTGAAAAAGATTCATTCGTGGCTGGGCAAAAAACTCCACACAGCATCAACTGAGGAGACTTCTTTAGGCAAATAACCGAAATAGATGGATCCCAGACCACCAAAATACGACCCCCATCAATAGAGTCGTAATTACTGTCCCACCTCCAACCAGGGAAGGCAGAGTTCAAAACACTAGCAGCATTGTCCACAGATACATGGGACTCTAAAATACTGCCAATCAATGGCTTATTAATACCAACCCAGCTTTTTACAAAACGTTGGCGAGAGTGGCTATTAAGTCCTCTTATATTCCAGCAAAAGATCTTCATATAAACAACAAAAGGGTGAAGATAGAGCTAAGCTCTTAGAGGTTGGATTCACTACCCAAGGGCAGACCCTGAGTAGGACTTGAGGAAGACATAACCTTTGAATTCTTGGAAAAACGAGTTCCTGTTACCTTACCAGCATTCTGATAAGGAATTTGCAGCTGCCTTGAAATCTGATTTGCTGCCCCATTGAAGAGTTTCTGCTTAGTGTGGGAACCGGCGCCAACCAATGTAAACCCAGACCTAGCAATAGTTTCAGAACTTTTTACCACAAAACTAGAAGCCGCAGCGGGAAACTCCTCAGACTTGGGAGCTTCAGAACGAGACTGACCGACTCTAGGCTGAAGAGAAGGAATCACCACATCCTTAGTCCCATCAGAGATAACCCTATGATCAACTGTGATATCTGGCTCCACAACACAAGAACCTTCGACCTTAGATACCACCTGGTTTTCAACATGAGGTGCACTTCTACCTCTCCCTGATGATCGACTTCTGGAGCGAGTCCTTCTTTTTACCTTATGAATGGTAGAAGATGGACCTTGCAGAGACGGAATACTAGGTAACGCTTTGACCGCATCAACCATAGCTTTAGAGATTTTAGGCTCTTTAATAGGAGCAAGAGAATGCTTGGATACAGCAACTGCAGTACCTCTGGCAACAAAAGGCTTGGGACCTCCCTTACCAAAAGATTTCTTCATAAGCGGTTTGGGGCATCTATTTAACAGATGACCAAACCTACCACAATTACAGCACCGAGGAGGAAGCCTAGGATAGGAAACTTCCACCCGAACAGAGTTACCCATTGAGTCACGAACTTTAATAATTGCAGGAGGGGAAGAATCCAAATCAATCTCAACTTTGACTTTAGTATTACCAAAGTGGAAAGGATCCAGCCTCGATTTTTCCGTGTGCAGAGGCTCTCCAATCGCACTCGCAATGACACTAATACCTTCAAGTGAGTACATCTGAGGAGGAATATTTTTCAATATTGCCCAGGTAGGGGCAGTAGACAGCTCCGACAGATCGACCAAACCATTTGGAGACCACGGAAAGACTGAAAAGGCAACATTTCCAGCTTGCCAGTAACCTATCTGAAGTACCCATTCACGAGTGGATAGACAAGGAACCCAAATGAGGCAAGAAGTGTCCGACAACACCCGGATGGTGATGTTGCCATGTTTTCCCCAAGCTGGGTTGAGGTCTGTGTAGATTTTGCCTGGAGGAGGAAGAAGACCGTGAAATTGAGCAACGATATGGCCCTTCCACATCTTCGCAGTCTGGAGAAGAACAGATTCGGGAGCCTGAACAACCGGAATCCCATCCTCTTCGAAGGTGGGAGTCGAAATCTTTCTAAGGTTTCTGAGGGAGGATTTGAATCTTTCAGCATAAGAAGGACCACTAGTATCCTGAATTTGCTGTGAGTCAGACGGAGTAGAGCAGATCCGAGAGGGAATAGCATCTGATGAAGTTTCTGTGATAATGGGGACATCAACCTGAGGAGAAATACTTGAATCGACCACCACAGAATTTGGATCTTCCGACAAGACAAGAACAGAGGCAACAGAAACACACCCCGAGATCAGGGCTGGCAGAGGCAAAGAAGACGTCGACGGAGGCCCTGAAGACGGAGAAGACAACGAACCCTCCTCTGGAGACAAAGGAAGCACTCCTTCACTCACGATGGAGGAGACAGAACCTACCGGAGAAACCGCAGGACTTGTCGGAGACAGAGTGGCCACGGCATTTCCGGCGGAAGACAGAACTGAAGAGGAAGAAACGCCGGCCATAACCTTGACGGAACTCGAGTCAGACGGCGCAGCGAACGGAAGAGGAGGCTTTTTCTTCTTGGCCATGGCGGATTTCTCGCCCACCGGCGTGAGGCCAGTTGACGGCGGCGGCTAGGTTAAAACGATACCTAATCGCCTTTTTGGTCACAGAGAGAAACAATTTTTATCTTATTACATTATGTTTGCTATTTCATTGATTTACGGTTTTCTAAACTATATAGGTTGAAGTGCCTCCCACTGATGCCGAGGAAAGCAATGATCATTCCAATGCAGAGGTTACAAAGTAATAGTATTATTATTTGATACTGTTAATGTTACCGGTTTTTTACAATCCTGTTGTTTTGTTCAGGTCCGTGTCGATGGGGTTGTTGAGCAGGACCAAGTGAGTGTTGTCGGATAATATTATTTTTTTTAAAAAAAAATATTACATTTTAAATTATATTTCTGTTTCCCCGTATTTCATTATGTTTCTCTCTTTCTTCAGGTTATTCCGGAAGCCGATAATGCCTGTGTTCAGGTTATCGTATAATAAAATACTTCTTAAAGGTAAATGTTACTTTTATGTTACCTGGTAACTGATTATTTTGTTTTTTAAATAATTAGGACAATTTGCCACTCACCAATGACAATCTTGAGGTATGTTTCTGTTATATCGATAAAACTTGTCTTAACTAATATTCTAATGAAATTGTTTTTGTTTACTGCATATTAACCCAAAAGACACTAATATATTTGGTAACCTATAATATTTACGTTAGTTATTATCATTTCTGTTACAGTCTCATTTTTTTGCATTGGTTTGTTTTGTTGCAGATTCTGATGGGAGACGGTGTTGATCTGAACAACCCTACTGTCCAAAAAGCTTCTCTTCAGGTTCTTATGTTTCTTTATTAAATGCCATTGCTACTCGGCTACTAATTAAGATAGCCGTTAAGATATCAGCAACTCATTATTTACTTGTATTTTTTTTTAATTACCTGTTTTCAGGGCAATGCCACATTTTCCATTTGTATTATTATTGTTTTGTAACTCAAGTTTTATATGGCCCGATAACAATTTTCATTTTTACCTGTTTCTCTAGGGTGATGTGAGCGATATTAATCCTAATCATGAGGTCTGTTATACTCCTTTTTTGTATTCCATAACTAAATCACTACTAACACCCTTACCCGGTAACTTGTCACTATATTAACGTTAATGGCGATGTAGTATTAATATTTCTTCACTCTAATTGTCAGTTATTTCCCGGTCTTGTTGTATTTAATTTTTTATTTGTATTTTATTGTATCTTTATATACATTAAGTTTGGTTTCCTCTGTTTCCACAGGTTGATTTGCCGGTTAACACTTCAGTTATCAGCAACGATGGCACAAACCTAGAGGTAGTTTGTAACTGTAAAAAATATATATTTAAATTTGGAGATATCGATTACTGTTGTCCGGTACACTAAGAGTTAGTTAATATTTGGAGTGTTACCTTGAACAGATTTAAGGTTTTAAGTATTTTAATTTTTTTTTTTAGGCAAGTTAACACAAGGCTGACAGTGAGTCTTCAACTCAGGTTTGTTGAACGGATGTTGTTATTTTGATTCTGCTTTTAATAAGCCATCTTATATCATCCTTTTTTTTTTTAGTCCGGTGTAAGCAAGAATTCCATCTCTTCCCCAGGAGAGGAGGCGGTTTGTTCTTTTTTTCTCTTTTGTTATATAATTGCTTATCAGATATTTGCAATTTTATCCGCATAACTATATTGTTACATATCTTCAGAAATCTGAATCTCATGAGGCAGGTCAAATGGGAAGTGAACCTATTCTGGTAAAGTCCTTCACTATTGACCATTGATATAACGTATATAGCTAACCGGCTGTTCTAGTAATTGTTTGCTAAATTAATCATTATCGGATAATAGGACTCCCAAAGTCAAGTTGATGTGCATGTGTCAATCCCCCCCCCCCCCCCCCCCCCCCCCCAAGGTTATAGAAAAGGTGTCACTTCTTCATCATATACGATCATTTTTTTGTCAAATGTCTGTGTCATGACCATTTATTTTGCAGGCTGATGTTCCATCGCAGAGTAACGTTGTTGGGAATCCTGGAGAAAGAAGGAGTAAAAGGCTTAGGACCATATCTTCCAAGTTAGACGGGCGGTTTCAGTTTGACAAGTAACCAAGTTATTGGTCGGCCACCCTTTTCCAATCGCAACTCTTTCTACTGTTTCTATAGATCATGAGGAGCGTTTCAACAATTCCATGCAGAAACTAAAAGCAATCAGGTTTGTTGGTTTATTATTATTTTTCGCAATGTATGTTATCTGTTTTGCTCTTTACTCGCTAATCCTTTTCTTACCTGGCTAATCATTTTATTTCCATGATTTAGCTCTATTTCTCTGGGTGGCGATGTTTAAATTGCCAGCAAAGACGTCAGGAAAAAACCATTGTCTAACAAGGTAGTTTTAGCTCCAACACATAGTTATAATCTAAAATATTTATTACTAGATAACTATGTTAACTTGATAATTTTCCAATAGGTTATAGATGCGCTTTTGAAGTTTAGCAGGCACATTCTTAGAACTGACGACGTCGATGAAGAGTTGCTTAATACCAATTTTATCTCTCATTTGTGTCGACTATTTCCAAAGTTTTCCAAAGCTCCTGTCCCTGAGGATTTTCAGTTCCCCAAAGCTTTGATTGATGCTGTTTCTGGTGTCGGAGAGTTGGACCGTGCTCAGCTTTATAATATTTAGTTTATAAAATTAAAACTTTTTATAAAGTTTAGTTTTAATAAAGTTTAAATATTTATAATTTTTTGAAACTTTTTTAAAGTTTCAATTCTTTAAAATAAATAACCGGAGTAAAACGGATAACAATTTTAATTTTGGACGCCTGATAAATCAAGCTCCCAGCTCATTCGTGTCAAATTTATTTTGGTTCTTTTTATAGTATGACTCTGAACTACTGCCTAATTTTTTAAGCAATGTGGGACATTGTACACCTATTTTTTCTTCATGGATTGCGATTAAGTAATTTATCCAGTGCAATATTAATTAATATATATCCGTTTTTAAAATTTTGAATCATATCATATGCAGAAAATTAATGTTTCAAAATAATTTGTAATATTTTTAATATTAATTAATAATTTGGAAGCCACGATTTCTAAAAGATTTTTTGAAATAATTTGTAATATTAATTAATAGATAAACATTTATGACAATGACATTCTCTTGTAAATAAGTGTCAACTCAAGGATTTCTTTCATATTTATACTTCGAAAATGTATATATAGATGTATAATGCAACTAATCACAATTAAGATTTCGATCATAACCACCATAACAAAAGAAAATTATCCAGTGCAAATAAGTGCCAGACTTGACATTATAGCAATCTACTTCCATCTGGATGAATGGGAAAATTGATGAATGAAGTTAAAAAGCATTCTGAAGATTAAAAAAAGAAGGGGAAAATGTCAAAAAGATCACCAATTTTTAAATTTGGTCGAAAAAAACACCAACTATCACTTGAACTCTTTAAATCACCAATTTTTGTTGATTTTTCATTTTAATTACATACTTTTGTTAACTGAACCAATTTAGGTCCATCATGAATTATTTTGACAAAATGAATTAATGAGGTTAACTCTTTGTTACTCATCTCCGTAATCAAAATTGTTGATAAACTCAACATAGATTATTATTAGAGACTTATTCCGTTAATTTGTTCTGTTAAGATACTTAAAACGTGATTAAAGTGTTTATGGGAAACTTGGTGCTTCTTCTCAACCAAATTTGAAAGTTTGTGATTGTTTTGACATTTTTTCCAAAACAAAGAATATAAATGAAAATTATATTAATTAAATATTTTATCGTTTAAACTATACTTATTTTTAGCAATCTATATTCCTCTAAATAACTACCCTTATTTTTTTCTTATGTATTTAACTATTTATTAAATGAAAGTCCAAAGTTGCTAGCCAAAAGAGGTTTAATTGTTCGAACATAGTCTTTGTCGCAGGCAACGACAAAGGTTGGCCCCGGAGGTTGATGCTCGACAGCCCATTTTAACATGTGAAGTTTCATGTTAATGTCCGCATAATCCCGTTTCTTCTGGCCCGGAAAATCTAAATAAACACAACAAGCCTGTTATTGATAAAGTGATACATATAAACCGTGAGGCATTCTTTTATATTTCAAAATATGCCACAATATACATAAAAGAAATTATCACTCACCTGTTGCAACTCTGATAACTTGAACATCGGGCAGACTCTTGAGTTCTTCTATTCTATAGTCAGGGCATTTTGATGTGACAAAGACGGTAATAGATTGGAGGAGAGAACCCTTCTCGTAAAGGTATCGCCTCACATTGTCGACCACTTGAGAAGAAGAAAACCCATCAGGGACCGGGTTATTCTCTAAATCCCACCATGTCTACAATGTCAAGTCTGACACTTATTAGCAATGGATAATTTTCTTAGCAGTTTCAGAGATTCAATCTGAGATGGGGAATCTACTTCCATCTGGATGAATGGGAAAATTGATGAATGAAGTTAAAAAGCATTCTGAAGATTAAAAAAGAAGGGGAAAATGTCAAAAAGATCACCAATTTTCAAATTTGGTCGAAAAAAACACCAACTATCACTTGAACTCTTTAAATCACCAATTTTTGTTGATTTTTCATTTTAATTACATACTTTTGTTAACTGAACCAATTTAGGTCCGCCATGAATTATTTTGACAAAATGAATTAATTAGGTTAACTCTTTGTTACTCATCTCCGTAATCAAATTGTCGATAAACTCAACATAGATTATTATTAGAGACTTATTCCGTTAATTTGTTTTGTTAAGATACTTAAAACGTGATTAAATTGGCTCACACTACAAAAGTTTGTGATTTAGGGGTGTTATTCAACCATGGAGTTAAAGTCAATTCTTTAAAGGTTAGATTTGTTTTCTGATATTGTTTTTAAGAATCTGTTTGTGTGGATTTCAAAATCTCTGTAGTATATCTTGGATTTTGATTCTAATAATTTACTCATAAAACTCTAAAGAGGTTTCATTTCAAATGATTTAATATACAAAGATTTTACAAGTCTTTTAGTTTTGAATAACACTGGATTTTAATGAAGTATTTTAAATCTTAGTTGAATAACACCAAACTATTAAAATCTAATGAAGTATAAGATTCAATAACACCAGATTTTAAAGTTAGATTTAGAATAATTAGTTGAATAACATTGGATTAGTGTTGGATTTCAATTCTATTAAAATCCATCAATGAATAACACCACCTTAAAGTGTTTATGGAAAACTTGGTGCTTCTTCTCAACCAAATTTGAAAGTTGGTGATTGTTTTGACATTTTTTCCAAAACAAAGAATATAAATGAAAATTATATTTATTAAATATTTTCTCATTTAAACTATACTTATTTTTAGCAATCTATATTCCTCTAAATAACTACCCTTATTTTTTTCTTATGTATTTAACTATTTATTAAATAAAATTCCCCATCTCATTTATTTTATCTTTAACTACCATTATTCTATTTATTTATATCTCCTTTTTTAATTAATCATATTCGACACATTTAAAAAAAAAAACATTTCCAGTTAGAGCACATGTCTATAGTTAACAAATGCCAAAATATAATAAACAAAACCCCTAAAAGCAAAGATTATTGCAATTTTAATCTTTTAATTCTAACATGTTTAGTCGAAAGCGTATGAATGTGTAATATGTTATCAAATATAACCAAAATTTTCCTCGTGCTCGTATGAGTTATGCTCTAATTAACTACTCCATATATTAAGCTTTTGGGGTTTAATAACTAATTTTTGTTTGAATTAATGTAAATTTGAATGGTTGATCAGTATAAAATAGACCATAATCAAACAAGCTAACTATAGTGTATATAATAAATAAAATGCTAAGTTCCATACTAAAATATAAAAATTATGAAATCGATTATATGGAATTTGATGTTGAAAGATGAAAAATAGACGAAACCAACATATATTATCCTCTAAAAAATGAAACCTACAATCAAAAGTGACCTTTCTAGCAATAATTTTATTCTTTTGAAGAAGTCAAGATTCGATACCTTCTTTTAGTTCACGAATAGCGTTATGGCGATAACGTTAATCTCTCGGTTTCAAAACGTGTTCCTAAATTTTTCTAATCACATTGTTTCTCTGATATTAAATCAAATAGAGTATACTTTATGCATGGTTTACTAATTTCCTTAGATTATAATTTTTTGGACCATAATAAAATTAGATAAAAATAATACAACTGGATATCACAAGTCTCCATAATGAATGCAAAATTAGAATGAGACGTGTAGATAAAATGGGTCCAAGTCATGTAAACGTGTTCTCCATTATCCACTAGTCTTCTCTTCGTACGACCCAAACCCCCACTAGCCTACACCAATCAAACCTTCACCAATCAATTATAATATTTGTCCGACGAGCTTTATGCCAATCTAATGGCTATTTTGAGTTTTTTTTTTCCAAGGTTTCCTTTAGTTTATTGATCCTAAAACTTGGGCCGCCTCAAGTTGAATTTGATACAACAAGCCTTCGAAAACAAAAATTAATGTTTAAAAATCACAAAACATATGATAGTATTTAGCATTATGCACTAAATAACCAAAATATGAAATTTTATTTTGTAAATGTTTTTTTTTTTTTTTTTTTTTTTTGTAAAATAACGTGGTGATAAAATTATTAAATAAATGGATGTTGTTTTTTCGGATTGTTTTAAACAAATACTATGAATTTTAAACTGTTTTAAACAAATACTAGCATTCTATTTTATCTTATGATACATTATTCTTAAATACAAAAATCCACTTATTTATAATTTCTTCACGACATATTTTAGCATATAAAAAAAAAAAACTATATATCCTAATTAAGTAATTAACTCATATATTTTACAAGAACAAAACACAATACTATGTTTTCTAATATATATCCTACGTTCCAAAAAAAAAAAGTTGTCTACGGAAAATATGAATATACAACTTTGTATAAAAAAACTAGTTTAATTTTTCTAAAGTTATAGCAATGTCACTAATGTAATATAAATTATTAACAAAACATAAAAATTGAAAATGAGATTTGTATCTATATTGAAATGTCACTAATATAAAATTAACAAAAAAAAAAACTGATTTAGAAATTAAAAATTAATTTTGGTTTAATCTATCTAAAGTTATAGCATTATAACTAATGTGATATAAAAAATTAACAAATAATTAAAAAAAATGTGATTAAAATGATATAAAGAGAGAGTCAAAAAATGGAGAAGGAGAGGGAAGAAAAAGTCCGTTTATCATCTATTCTTCTTCCTCACAAGAACAAATCTTGAAATCGAGATCGAGAAAAAAAACCAAAAAATGGAGTCGAAACCAAACCCTAGACGTCCATCAAACACAGTGCTTCCATATCAAACACCACGATTAAGAGATCATTACCTTCTCGGCAAAAAGCTAGGCCAAGGCCAATTCGGAACAACCTATCTCTGCACAGAGAAATCAACCTCCGCTAATTACGCCTGCAAATCAATCCCCAAACGCAAGCTCGTTTGTCGCGAGGATTACGAAGATGTATGGCGTGAGATTCAGATCATGCATCATCTCTCTGAGCATCCTAATGTTGTTCGGATCAAAGGGACTTATGAAGATTCGGTTTTTGTTCATATTGTTATGGAGGTTTGTGAAGGTGGTGAGCTTTTTGATCGGATTGTTTCTAAAGGTC